GTCACCTTCCCAACACTGTTTGTTTATGTAAAATACAGAAAAGCTGCTTAAAAATGACAAAAAACACAAAAATATGATTACTGACTCACGTGTTCGTCACGAATGGACCGCGTGCACAACTATTTTCCTTAACGTACTCAACTCGCAATTTACTTATTACCAACGACCACAAACCAGGGGAATCCCAGTTTTCTATTTTGAGAATCTGGCCAATCTTGATATAAACCATGCAAAAAGACACAGCACTGACACAAATAATACTTCAAACTGAACATGAACACAGCAGCACAACACATCCAGCGCAGATTACACGCTAAAACTGCGGTAAACTTTGCGACAGAAAAAGAAACCAAACCAAGTGTCCATTTGCCACAACAGTTCCAATCTAGATGCACGAAAAAGCCAAAAAAAAAAAAAAAAAAAAAGAGCCCAACATATTTCACTACCATAGCTACAGATAAACCCATGCACGAGTAAAAATGAGAAAACACAACCGCTTCAGGAAAAAAAAAAAAAAAAAGCATCGGTGACTTACCGTAAACCTGAAAACGTGGCCGCCTCCTCCGTGCACTTTCCTCCATGTCCATGTCGGGTCTATCCGCCGCCATCTCAAATAATCCACTATTTAAACCGTGCAGATGAAGCCCACGGAACCTCCAACGTCGAAAAATCACCTCGTCCTTTGGGAATCCTCGTTTAAAAAAACAAAGATACGAGTAAAACCTTTTATTTTCTAGACTTCTACCAGGGGGTAATTTTTGAAGGGGTTAGTTTGAAAACGCTACACCGGGGCCCTTCGTTGGGGCGGAAAGGTGCGCGGTGTTAAATAGTATTGCGCTAGATAAAATAGTCCTTAAGTCACCAACAGTAATAGCCCTGAAATGGCCAAGATTTATTTAAATAAGTTCTAACTCTGTTAGCAGAGCCTAGTCATAATTTGAATGTCTTTATTTAATATATATACAGTGTTGGGGAGTAACAGATTACATGTACTGGAGTTATGTAATCAGAGTACAAATTATGAGTAACTGTATTCAGTTACTGTTTCAGTGAGTGGTAATTGGATTACAGTTACTTTGTTGAAATAAATGAGATTACATGGCGGTATTTTCCTGTTTTCACATTTTGGGCTAAATCCCTTTCTTTTTTTTTTTTTTTTTTTTTTTTTACCAAGTCTAAACCAGGAATAATTCAGGATTGAACCAGGACTGAACCCAGGACTAAAACCAGGTCTAAACCAGATCTAAACCAGGACTAAAACCAGGTCTAAACCAGATCTAAACCAGGACTAAAACCAGGTCTAAACTAGATCTAAACCAGGACTAAAACCAGGTCTAAACCAGATCTAAACCAGGACTAAAACCAGGTCTAAACTAGATCTAAACCAGGACTAAAACAGGATCCTCTTCTATCAATAATATTTTTAATACGGTTAAGTAAAATCTGGGCTTTTTATTGTTTTTTAGCAGAAAAAACATCTTATGTGAAGAAATCCGAGTCTTTGCTTCTCTACAGAAAATCAAGTAATCCAAAGTATTCAGATTACATTACCCACTTTCAGTAATTTAAATGGATTACATTACAAACTACATTTTGGGGTATGTAATCTGTAATCTGTAGGGGATTACATTTTAAAAGTCACCTTCCCAACACTGGATATATAGATGTTATTTACCGTCCGGGCCTCTGCCTACGCGTAAGGACACACCCTCACGGACGTGTTGGTGAGTGAAATGTGATGAGACAATTTCCCAACAGATGCGAAGAAATGTCCAAAAGGAAAACTTACAAACGTTAAACCTGCTTAGTTCTTTATACCAACAAAGACAGGTTAGCGGTCTGATTTGCAAGCATAATAACTCAGCAATGTTATTTATGGAACTATTCAAGTATTGTACAACAAAACAACAAAATCAGGCCTATACTTTTAAAGACTTGATATGAGGTAAAACATATTAGATTAGATTAGATTTATTGTCATTGTACAAAATACAACAAAACTTCAGCAGAGCAAAACTGCAGAAGTAAAAATTAATAAATATAGACACATTCACACATTCATACCAATAAAAACATTAAATACATAACTAGATTATTGCACTTGCACTGGTACCTTCATGACTTTTATCTGGGTAGAAGCTGTTGTTGCAGTCTGTTTGTGCGTGTGAGAGGAGTTTGAAATCTTCCTGAAGGGAGAAAGCAGAAGAGGCAGGTGTCAGGGTGTGTGGAGTCCTACAGGACGTTGGAAATGGAGACGTGTTTGTGCGGAGACCTGTGAGGAGGAGATGATGGCCATTATTGGTCAGACCACTTCTAACTTCAGAAAGTACTTTATTTATTTATTTTTAACCTTTGTTTACTGAACATGACCACCAGACAAACAGAGGTCAAACACACTAAATTAAAAATAAATAAATAAATAATCATATTTTTTAAATATCAGAAATATGTCTGTGGCACCTGCTCAGTTTCACATGGTCACAAAAGTGAACAGTGGTGTTCTGCCTCTTATCACAATCCAGAGTCTGTCATAAAATTCATGGTGCACACTGTGGAAAAATATGCATCTGAGTCCCTCGCCACCGTGTGCACATCCCTCCCATGCTCCCACCATCTGAATCGTGACCGTCTCTGTATGACACTGCCCAGCATCCCACTGTCCCCTCCTGACCGCTGCCCAGGCCACTATCTGCTCCTCATTCGATTTTCATAGTAAAATAGTCATAGTGACTTATACAGGTGTGGGCCAGAGCATTGAACCAGCAACCTCATGTACATTACAGGAGCTTCCTATATGGTGTACATAAATTTTTGACTGGAGTGATGTAAATAATGTTTGTGCCAATTTTCAAAAACTTTGCATAAAGTGATTTGGAAAGTCCAGTGTGTAATATGTTTCTATCCCCACAGTCCAAATGAATCAAGAATTATGACAATGGACTTTTTTTTTTGCAGGTTTTGATGAATACAATGAATCCCTCAGGCCTAACCCTACCTCAGAAATGTTACATAATGAATCTTTAAATGCTCTCGCTTCCAAGCCAGACTGTGTCACGCTGTTTTAGATTTTATACAGAGGATTCTGATTCTGATTCTAAGCCTGGTACAGTTTGTTAATTAACTTGTGTGGTTAAATTATTTGACAGATTCTAGTATGTCAGTGTATTCAGAGTGGGTTCAGAGTGAAAAATTTTGAACCTTAGTACTGTTAATATGACAATTAACAATTACTAAAATATGCCATATTTTGAATGGCAAAAAGTGCCCAAAATGTCACCTATGAACAGGAAGCTGAAACACATGAAATATATGAAAGGACGTATTTGGTTCAGGATGGAGGAAAGTGGAGACTGAAAACTGTGCAGGAACACAAGGACAGAACAGGAGCTGTGGACACTTGAGATGCTACAGGCTCGCTCACACAGGATCAACACGGCCTTTATGGCACAGACGTAATGTAAATACGGAGAGGTACCAGCGATGCATCCACGCAATTCACATTTTTTTATGCCTTGCCTAAGGACACAGCCATAAGCATTCATCTGTGGGAGCTGGAATCACACCACCAACCTGTGGCTCAATGTGTCTGTCTGCTCAACCAGTGATGTTTTTGTCTTGAGCCTGACTCGAACCACCAATGTTTGGATCAGTTTTATTTTGTGTAGAATTCAGCGGTGTCGTGTCATCTGTGCAAACGATAACATACTGAACCACAGGTGGCAAATCCTCCTGGGACCTGAAGAAAGTGTATTGAAATATATATTTTTTTGTGATTTTTCTATCTATTTGGAGGTAAATGAACACCTTAGCTTTCAGATTTTGTTCATTTTATTTATAATTTTGTAACACGGGGGCGTCTTGGTGTTAAATTCAACCTTTGTTAGACTGGATCAACTTTTTGATGACAAACATCTCTGACAAGCTTCTACAGTTGCCTCAAAACGTTTTTAGAGTCCTTTTTAATTTCTTAATATTAAAAGAAGTTATCATAGTGTAACCACAAACTAACTCCTATTGTTTTTTTTTTGTTTTTGTTTTTATCCTGGACATGATAGTACCTATAATCCATCCATCCATTTCCTTCCTCTTATCCGGGGCCGGGTTGCGGGGGCAGCAGTCTAAGCCAGGCTTTATAGACTGACTTTATAGAAAGACAATGTAGCAGTAAGATGATTGACAGGACATATGGTTATCCATTACATAAGGGTGAGTTGTACCACTGTAGGGAGTTTTAACACAGTGGTGGGAGGTTTAATACAGTAGTTTTGTAGAAAGTTTTAAGATAAACTCCCTAATTGCGTGTTTTGTAGTTTGGTGGCGCTCTAAACACATGTTTTGTAGTCCAGTGGTGCTCTAAATGTATGTTTTGTAGTTCAGTGGCACTCTAAACTTGTGTTTTGTAGTTCTGTGGAACTCTAAATGCATGTTTTGTAGTTCTGTTGCATTCTAAACGCGTGTTTTGTATTTCTGTTTCTCTCTAAACATGTGTTTTGTAGTTCTGTGACGCTCTAGACTCGTGTTTTGTAGTTCTGTGACACTCTAAATGCGTGTTTTGTGGTTCTGCAGGGCTCTAAATGCATTTTGTAGTCCTTTGGTGCTCTAAATGCATATTTTGTAGTTCTGTTGCACTCTAAACGTGTGTTTTGTACTTCTGTGATGCTCTAAACATGCATTTTATAGTTCTCTGACACTCTAAACACGCGTTTTGTAGTTCTGTGGAGCTCTAAATGCCTGTTTTGTAGTTCCGTGGCGCTCTAAACGCGTTTTGTAGTTCTGTGGAGCTCTAAACGCGTGTTTTGTAGTTCCGTGGCACTCTAAACACACATTTTGTAGTTCTCTGACGCTCTAAACGCGTATTTTGTAGTTCTGCGGCGCTCTAAACGCGTGTTTTGTAGTTCTGCGGCGCTCTAAACGCGTATTTTGTAGTTCTGCGGCGCTCTATACGCGTGTTTTGTAGTTCTAAACTGCACTGACTCATCTGTCTCCGGGCGTTGACGTCAGGTCCGTGCGTCACTCCGGTGGTCACTCCTCCTCTGCACCTTTCACCGGGAGCCGCGAAGGGCATCGGGGGAACCGGCCTCACGGAGCACCGCAGCCCGCATTCTCCAGGTTAGTGCGCCTCGGGGTCTGGAGCTCCGCCGCACACCGGGCTCCAGGCTCCACACAGCCCGCCGCGGTGCGCTCATGTCCCGGGGAAACGCCACAGACTGACCGCAGACGAGCCCGTTTCTGCCCGGTGCTCCGGAATTCCAGATAGCATGCTAAGCTAAAGCGTGTTTATAGCAACTTTAACCGCTGTTTTAATGTTTTAACGTTTTCAGGGAGCGATTGCAGCAAAAGAAAACTGCATTATTAGTCGGTTATAACATATTTTAATCGCTCATGTGTTTAATTAACCCACATTTACGGCTCTAACCTGAAGCTAAACCTGCTAATAGCATTTGTATAACAGAAAGTAGTTACATTCTGTGTAAGCTAACCGGCTAATTACATAACTAATCCTGCCCGCTTTGTTTCAGCACAGATCGCGTTGTAGTGCGGTTTATTTCATAGTTTATGCGTGTTAGGAGCCGTTTTGTTCGGGTTTTAGGCCTGTTTTGGTGAAATGTGGGGGGAATTGTCGGGAACTCATGACTCGTGTGGTGCAAAAAGGACACGGTGATTGACGGCGCGTTTGGCCAATAGCGCCGCGGGAGACGTGCGACCGGCCAATGAGAGGGCGCGGGGGGCGGGCTCTAGCGGGGGAATGTTGTGGAAGGTCAAAACACTGAAGAGCCGCTGGTTTAGAGCCAAGAATAGACCCGGGGCACAGAGGCCAGAATGGGCTAAAAACGGACTCTTATTACTCACAAATAATGTCACTCAAGTGGAAGTTAAATCAGCTTTTACAAATTAACAATTAAGGATTATAACTGGCGAAAGAACAACCCAAGAAGTGAGTAATGCTGTAATTTTTGTTGTTATTAGGGCTGGGTATCGTTAAGAAGTTGCCGATACGATACATAGGCCACGATACGATGCATATCTCGATACAGTGCGCTTTCGATTCAGTACGATTCGATATGTTTTAAATCGATATTAAATACGGTTCTTTGAAAAATGAAGTTAAAATCATGACAGTGATACTAAAATCGACTAAATCCACTAAGTTTGTGCATTGTTAATATGAAAAACACTAATTTTACTCATCGAAACTGAAAATGTCAACACAATTGTAACTCTTACACAAAATTATTTAGTACAATGTACCTAAAAATACTCTTGCTAATATCAGTACAGCAGCCCATTATATCGATACTGTATCACCAAATTAAATGATATGATACATCAATATTTACATTTTTTTTGTACATTGTCCCTTCAAGAATACACTAAACTAACGTCAACATGACTTTAGCCATAGATTTGGTTCAAAACGGACTGTTATTACTCTCAAATAAACTCACGTGGAAGTTAAATCAACTTTTACAAATTAGTTTTCAGACAATTAATGATTATAACTGGCAAAAGAACAATCCAATTAGTGAGTAATGCTGTAATTTTTGTTGGTATTAGGACTGGGTATCGTTAAGAAGTTGCAGATATGAAACATACCTTGATACATAGGCCACGATACGATACATATCTCGATACAGTGCACTTTTGATTCAGAACGATATATATTTCAAATGGATTCGTTACAGGCTAAAACACGGCTGTGATACTAAAAGTCTTTGTTAAACCACTTCTTGTGCAAAGTTCACGTGAAACACAAACATTTTAATCTTTAAAACAATGAAAATGTCAAATGTGTCGAATAAACGAGTTTTCTTAGATTTACACAAACTTTACTGATCCACAAGAGAAATTATTTGGACACAGGAGCTCATGCGTCACAATATAATATAATAACAAAAAGAAAAAAAATAAGAATAAACTCTAAATAAGTAGAAAAAAAAAATTAGTAAGAGACAGGTGTCAAATAAGACATAATTATGTAAATGTAAACAAGCAACAAAACTGTAGCGCTGTAACAAAATAATTTAGTAAAATATACCAAAAAGTACTCTTGGAGATATATCGATACTGTATCATCACATTAAACGATACGATATATTGATATTTCGATATTTTTGCACACCTCTAGTTATCATGGTTGAATGTTCTTGGATAAATCTAAAATAAAACACAAATTGATGAAATAATGATATGGAAACTCTAATCCAGCGTCTCCCATTAATTCATCAGTCTACGGTGTCCTCCCCATAATCTGAAATAGTCCTCAAATAAACTGGACTGAATTTGTTGCTGATTGTTTTGTATCAGAAACTTATAAAAGAGCGGACACTGGCCAGAAATGACTGCGTAAAAATATATTTTATAAAAGGCAGTAAGTGACATTTATACTGCACAATTTGAATGACATTAAATTATTAAAATTAATCCATTTGCGCCACAATAATCTGAACCGAATCTATGGGAAACACTGGCTAAAAATGTTGAAGTTAGTTTAGTGTATTTCTTTCTTTGACGGGACAACGTACAGCAGGGGTGTGCAAAAATATTGAAATATCAATATATCGTATCGTTTAATTTGGTGATACTGTATTGATACCGTGGGCTGCTGCATCGATATATTTGCAAGAGTAATTTTAGTAGGGCTGGGTATCATTAAGGAGTTGCCGATACGATACCTACCTCGATACACAAGCCACGATACGATACATATCTCGATACAGTGCACTTTCGATTCGATATGATATATTTCAAATCGAATCGATACGGTTCAATAAAAAATAAAGGCTAAATCGTGGCTGTGATACTAAAAGTCTTTTTTAATCACTTCTTGTGCAAAGTTCATATGAAACACAAACATTTTAATCATCAAAATAGTAAAAAATGTCAAATGTGTTGCATAAACGAGTTTCCTTCCACCCCACAAGCAACAAAACTGTAGCTCTGTAACAAAATAATTTAGTAAAACACACCTAAAAGTCTTCGGAAAATTCCACACTTTCCGTTGTGTTCGGACAAGTGTGAGTCCATGTGCACAGTGTATAAAGCAGCACATATGTTTCTGTGTCCAGTGGGAAAAAGTTTTTCCAGGTGAGAGTCGCTCAATGTCGATGACGAGTCCCCACCTCCCTCCCCCCGTACGGTGTCCTGGTTTTGACAAACACAAATCTGATCACACTAACCTGTATTCACCTGAGTCATGTCTTTTAATCCGACAGAAATTGAACCACATCAGCGACACAAGAGCTGGAGTTTTATCTTCACTTAGTTTATGCAAATTAGCGATGTGGTTTTAAGTTTCGTTTCTGTGAGAGTTGCGCAAAACTGAATTAAACACATTATAATGTCAAACGGGCTGATGTGGCTCTAGAGTCGTTACGGTTTATTTGTCGTAAAGTTGAATTTATTTATGCAGATTAGTAGTGCAGATAGTAATAATAATGATGATCATTTTAATATAAAAACGTTAATGATTAATCAATAATCGATCGTTAATTCTTCCGACTAAGATTAAGAAAATTTCATCGAATGCCCATCCCTACATGTCATTATATTGTCAACATAATAACAATAATCTTGGACCCTTTATAGATTGAAATATTGTATGTCGGATGATAGTGATAATAATAAAAAAAAAGCAATAAAAGCAGAAAAGCTGAACATTCACACAGACAAAAAGAAGTAATAATGTTTCACCAAAGTGTATAATAAGTTGAAAAGGTGGATATTACAAAGACCGTCATATAGCTGGGACTTGAATAGGAGTTTAAATACTTTCTTGAAATAAGATGATAAAAGATGACCACATCCTGTTAAATTTGTCTTCCTGACCCTGCAAAGAGTCTCATAATTTTCTCTAGATCCAAATTCATCATAACATCTCTGAACCAGTTCACATGTGCGGGAGACTCTGCCTGTTTCCACTTTAATAAAATCAAATCTTCCTGCAAGCAAACAGGTTTTTTTTTTTGACAACTTTTGAGTCTATCATCCCAAGTACTACTGTAAGAGGATTCAAATCAATAGGTTTGTTTAGAGCTTTTGACAACATTAAAAAAATATTTGACCAGAAATTTAGATGTTTAGATATTTTCACTGTTTTGATGAGTAAATTTTGTGTTTTTCATATTAATGCTGCACAAACTTAGTGGACTTAGAGACTTTTAGTATCACAGCCTTGATTTAGACTTTGTTTTTCCAAGAACTGTATCGAAATTATTTGAAATGTATCGTATCGTATTGAATTGAAAGTGCACTGTATCGTATCGTGGCCTGTGTATAGATTTCTGTATCGTATCGGCAATTTCTTAACGATACCCAGCCCTAGTGTACAGAGACATCAAGCTAAAAGATCAGAGATGTTTCACCCCAACGGTCCCTGAAATTGAGACCGTTGCCATGGAGACGGGCCATTGGCGGACCCATCGCCCACCAGGAAAAGTTACAGAGTGCCTCTTATATCATATCTGAAGGGAAAGTGTCAAAGTGCTTATGATCTTTTATAAACTTAAAAAACAGAAGGATGACTCACACAGGACAAAAGTTTTACGGCGTTTTTAATCAGTCTGAGTCTAAATCATCATTTTGGGCCGGTCTTAATCTGTCCTGGTTTAGACCTGGTTTAGTTCTGGTTTAGTTTTGGTTTAATCTTGGTTTAGTCTTGGTTTGGTCCTCGTTCTCCCCTGGTTCAGTCTTAGTTCAGCCTAGTTCAGTCTTGCTATAGTCCTGGTTTAGTCCCGGTTTAAGTCTGGTTCAGTCCTGGTTTAGTCCTGGTTCAATCCCTGTTTAGTCTTGGTTCAGTCTTGGTTTAATGTTGGTTCAGTCCTGGTTCAGTCCGGGTTCAATCCTGGTTCAGTCCTCGTCTTGGTTCAGTACTGGTTTGGTCTTTGTTCTTCCCTGGTTCAGTCTTGGTTCAGTTCTGGTTTAGTCCTGGCTCTGTCCTGGTTTAGATCTGGTTTAGTCCTGGTTTGGTCCTGGTTTAGTCTTGGTTCAGTCCCACTTTATTCCTGTTTTATTCCTGTTTTAGTCCTGTTTTATTCCTGCTTTAGTCCTGCTTTAGTCCTGCTTTAGTCCTGCTTTAGTCCTGCTTTAGTCCTACTTTAGTCCTACTTTAGTCCTACTTTAGTCTTGCTAAAGCAAGAGTTAGTTGCTTACTGCTGGTTTAGTCCTGTTTTAGTCCTGGTTCAGTCTCTGTTTAGTCCTGGCTCTGTCCTGGTTTAGATCTCGTTTAAATCATATTTTCAAATGTGTTTTTATAAGAACAAAACTGTGACCGGAGAATCAGACCTGTGTTGGTCTGAAGTACAGTCTGTAACTCTGTAAATCCTTCCGTTGTTTACCGGGATTCTCTGTTGTTTATGTGTTTTTGGTAAAATCTGAAGAGAACAACAAACACGCCTCAGGCTCCAGTTCTCCAGCCAAACCAAACAGAGTGAAGCTGGTTTAAACCCGACAGATCTGTGGGCGTGGTTCACAGGTACAGACTGTCACACTGTAATCACGATCATGTTACAGAACAGAACAGAACAGAACAGAACACACACAGACTGAGGCTCATCACAGTGAAATCTAAACTAAAGCTGCAAATGGGCGCTGGTTTGGATGTTATTAGTTCTGTCTTAGACCTGGTTTAGACCTGGTTTCTGTTCGGGACCAATTTCCGAATTTTCCCTATTCGAATTTTAGACATTTTTAGACAAAATTAAGTTGTGTTTTTGTTTTAGTTTTAGTCCTGGTTCGGTCCTGGTTTAATCCTGGTTTAATTATTTGTTTAGAGCGGGTTTAGTCCTGGTTTAATTCCAGTTTAGTCCTGGTTTAGTCCTGATTTAGTCCTGGTTTAGTCCTGGTTTAATTCTTGGTTTAGAGCGGGTTTAGTCCTTGTTTAGTCCTGGTTCAGTCCCGGTTTAGTCCTTTTTCAGTCCCGGTTCAGTCCCGGTTCAGTCCCGGTTCAATCCTGGTTCAGTCCTGGTTTAATCCTATGTTAGTCCCGGTTCAGTCCCGGTTTAATCCCGGTTCAGTCCTGGTTCAGTCCTGGTTTAGTCCTGGTTTAGTCCTGGTTCAGTCCTCGTTCAGTCCTGGTTTAGTCCAGTCTCTTTACAGGACTTGGTTTTAGTTCCTGGGTCAGTCCTGGGTCAGTGTTGGTTCCGTTTTGGTTTAGTCCTGGTCTAGTCCCGGTTCAGTCCCGGTTCAGTCCGGTTCAGTCCTGGTCTAGTCCCGGTTCAGTCCCGGTTCAGTCCTGGTCTAGTCCCGGTTCAGTCCCGGTTCAGTCCTGGTCTAGTCCCGGTTCAGTCCCGGTTCAGTCCTGGTTTAGTCCAAGTGTCCACATACATGTTGTTAATAAATTCGACCCAAGACTCGACTTGACTCTAGTGTTGTTACTTCTGCTTTTCGGACTATTTTTAGACTTTGGTGTGACCTTGGTGGCGACCGAGTACATGCCTACTTCACTTCCTGGTTTGGGTTTTCTTAGTACTTTCTTAGTCCTGGTTTAGTTCAGTCTTAGACCTGGTTTAGTCCTGTTTTTCTCAGGCCCATTTTCTGAATTTTCACTAATACAATTCTGGCTAATCCTTGAAATTGGTTTAAATAATTAGTTTATCCAGCGCAGTCGTGCACGGTTTAGACAAAAATGGGGTCTGTTTTTGTTCTAGTTTTAGCCCTGGTTTAGTCCTGGTTTAGTTCTGGTCTTGTCCAGGTTTAGTGACAGGTTTAGTCTCAAGTTAGTCCCATTTTTTTTATGTGCAACTGCGTGCAACCTTAGTCCCAGGGCAAGTCCCGGGTTTAGTCTCTGTTTCAGTCCTGGTTAAGTCCCTGGTTCAGTCCTGTTTTTAGTCTTGGATCACTTTTGGTTCAGTCCTGGTCTAGTTCCTGGCTCAGCCCCTGTGTAGTCCCCGGTTTTGTCTCTGGTTCTGTCCCTGGTCTTGTCCCTGGTTTAGCCCTATTTTAGTCCTGGTTCAGTCCTTGGTTCAGTCCTGTTTTTAGTCTTGGTTCATTCTTGGTTCTTGGTCTAGTAGTCCTTGGTCTAGTTCCTGGTTCAGCCCCGGTTTAGTTCCCAGTTTAGTCTCTGGTTTTGTCCCTGGTTCAGTCCTTGTTCAGTCCTTGTTTATTCCTAGTTGAGTCCTGGTTCAGTCCTGGTTTAGTACTGGTTTAGGCCTGGTTCAGTCCTAGTTTAGTCCTAGTTTATTCCTGGTTTAGTCCTGGTTTAATCCTGGTTCAGTCCTAGTTTAGTCCTAGTTTAGTCCCGGTTCAGTGCTGTTTTCAGTCCTGGTTCAGTCCTGGTTTACTTCTGGTTCAGTCCTAGTTTAGACCTGGTTCAGTCCTAGTTTAGACCTGGTTCAGTCCTAGTTTAGTCCTGGTTCAGTCCTAGTTTAGTCCTGGTTCAGTCCTGGTTCAGTCTTAGTTTATTCCTGGTTCAGTCCTGGTTCAGTCTTAGTTTAGTCCTGGTTCAGTCCTGGTTCAGTCCTAGTTTATTCCTGGTTCAGTGCTGTTTCAGTCCTGGTTCAGTCCTGGTTCAGTCCTAGTTTAGTCCTAGTTTAGTCCCAGCTCAGTGCTGTTTTCAGTCCTGTTTTCGGTCCTGTTTTAGTCCTGGCTTGGTCCTGGTTCAGGTTTGTTTTCATCTGTTTTCTCGTCATAAATAATCGTTCTGTCTCTTGTTTGGTGTTTGACCCTTTTGTCCTTCAGTCTCACCTGTTTGACTGCAGCTCCTGAACTTCCTGATGATCAAACAATAAAACACTTTTTATAATCAGATCCACAGTTGTATCTTTGTGGACGTGACCCTGGACATATCTCTTATCTCCTACTGAAGTTCAGACTGGTGTTGTGACGATACTAAAACTTCAAACTGGATTTCGATACTAAGGAACAGACTCGATGTTCAATGGTGATTCTGATGCCACGATGATAAAAAAAAAAAAAATCATTATGACGTTTTCAATCGTTGTACTTTTTTCTATTCGCCTGTACAGCTTGGAACAGACGTCATAACTCTGAGTTCTGTTCTAACATTTCTCTCTCTTCACAGCACGAGGAAGAGGACCACGCTCACTTCCTGTTGGATACTTCCCGTTGGACGTGTCACTTCCTGTGGACTAACCCGGACTCTGCGGGTCTGCGGACCGGACCAGGACTTAGACCAGGACTATGCATCGCCTCAGGACTTGTGCGGCACGTTTGCGGCCGCTCACGGCGACGCAAACCGCTCAGACTGCCGGCCCCAAGCGGCCAATCACAGCCCAGTATCCGGGCGGAGCAAGGACGTTTCAGCCAATCAGGTGCTACTCTGCTCCTGTGGCGTCAGAGCCTTTTCTGAACGGAACCAGTTCAAATTATGTCGAGGAAATGTACTTCGCCTGGCTGGAGAACCCAAAGAGTGTACACAAGGTTTGTACTACTACTCCTACTACTACTACTACTACTACTACTACTACTACTACTACTACTACTACTATCACTACCACTACTACTACTCTAAAAAGGTCTGGTATCATTACGAAGTTGCTCATACGATACGCATCTCGATACAGTGAGCTTTCGATTTGATACGATATATTTCAAATCGATTCGATACGGTTAAAAAAAAAAAAAAGAGTAAATCATGTCTGTGATACTAAAAGTCTTTATTAAACCAATTCATGTGCGAAGTTCATATGAAACACAAACATTTTAATCCTTTGACATTTTAATCAGTGAAAATGTCAAATGTTAACTTGAATGTTAAACTGTAGCTGTGACAAAATATTTTTGTAAACGATACCAAAAAATACTCTTGGCGATATATTGATACAGCAGCCCACGATATTGATACTGTTTCATCAAATTAAACTACTCCATATATTGATATTTCAATATTTTTGCACACCCCTAACTATCATTGTACTATGTCACTATTAGGGTTGTGCAGCAATATCAAGATATTGATATCGTATCATTTAATGCAGGGGTTTCCAAACTTTTTCCTCTGGTGAGCTCTCTTTACAAAACGAAAAGGCCAGGGAGCTACTAGTTTTAGGAGTCACAAGAAATGGAGTGTATTTAAGTGCCATGGCGAGCCTGAACTGAGGTACAGTTAGGTATAAACCTATTTATCTTTATAAATTTATCTATTTATTAGTACACAAAATGGTACATGTATCATTTATATGGCATTTAATTTATCAAACTTTACTTCAGGACAATATGTGTACTTCAGAAATCCCATGTCGAGCTACTTGGAAGGAGGTGGAGAACTACCGGTAGCTCCCGAGCTACAAGTTGGAGACTCCTGGTTTAATTTGATGATACAGTATTAATATCGTTGGCTGCTGTATCAATATATCGCCAAGAGTATTTTTTTCTATATTTTACTAAATTATGTTGTCACAGCTGCAGTTTTGTTGTTTTTTTAGTGGAAGGAAACTCGTCTATGTGACATATTTGACATTTTCACTGTTTTAATAATTAAAATGTTTGTATTTCATATGAACTTTGCACCAGAAGTGATTTAACCAAGACTTTTAGTATCACAGACATGATTTAGACTTTATTTTTTATTGAACTGTATCAAATCGATTTGAAAAATATCGTATTGAGATATATATTAATATATATATTGAGATATGTATCGTATCTACTACTCCTTAATGATACCAGCCTTAGCAACTATGAACCACTGTGGATGAGTAGTTAGCACTCACGCTTCACTACAAGAAGGTTCCTGGTTCAACTCCTGGGCCTTTCTGTAGAGTTTGCATGTTCTCTCTGTCTTTATGGGTTTCTTCTGGTTTCCCCATCAATCCAAAACATGTACAATGGGTCAAATCCTCTAGATAAAGTAGTCCTGACCAAGACTAGACCGAGATCTGGAGATGGGAAGGACAGGTCAAACGCAGGGAGTTTTCTTCAAACTACAGCTCATCATGAACCTGCAGAAGACAGAAGTTCTACCATCATCAGTATTTATTTATTTATTTATTTATTTAATAGGGACAGTGCATATTAATGAACATCTACAACATTGCAGTGTAAATATGCCAGATTATAGCAAGACTGCTAATTTCCATCTGTAGTCCCTTGGCAGGTAACACCACAAATTTAAACACACAAGTACAGTTACTTTTCCAGTTACTGACCCACTGCTGCCTGTTTACACCAAAGTCTCTGTGGAAAACATTAAGATGGCTGCTTGTTTACTCAACCGGGCTGCAGCGCAATATTAAGTGGAGGGAGGAAAAAACAACAATGTGAAATCAGCTTGAATGAACGTCTAATTTGGAGTTTGCGCAAACGATACTCTGGTTTCTGGCACCGGCGGCAAAGAGTAAACGATCATTAGAATGGAGGAAGACGTTGGATGGATCATGGGGAAGTGCAGGTTTAATCCACAGTGACTCTTAGATTCTAGATGTAGTAGTTGATTGGTCATTATTAGAACTGGACCTGGTGTTTTTCATCCGCAAAATGGGTGCAATATTGGTTTTTAATGTCTTAAAAAAGTCTTAAATTTGGGGTAGTCAAACTTGGGGATACTCTGTCAAAACAGTGAAAATGCCAAATGTTTCCAAAGTGTTTTCTGGGGACTCATATTTTTAAAAGTCACAAAGCTTCGCGACCCAAGTTCATAGACATTATTCGTAAATCTGAAAATAAAGGTGGATCTGCACATTATTGAACATTAATGAGGATTTTTTTTTTTGTTGACTCTCTGAACAATTAGTATGACTTCAGTTTTAAACAATGAAAAACAGTCACTGAACCAACAATAAAAGGATCCATAAGTAGAATATTTGGACATTAAACTTGTATATTGACAGACCGACGTGCAGATTGTGACAAGGTGACAAAAAAAAAATCTCTTGCGGCCCACTGAGGGACAGAACTGTAGCTGTAACTAAATAATTTAGTAAAATAAACCAAAAACTACTCTTGGTGAAATATCGATACAGCAGCTCCTGATAACGATACTGTATCATTACATTAAACAGTACGATATTTTGATATTCTGATATTTTTGAACACCCCTAATCGAGACAGGCCTACTCTTGGTTGTCATGGTGTGTAATGATAATATCAAGTTTTGTTTGTTTTGTTTTTATCACCCCCCCAAAAAAACAAACAAAAAAAAAAAAACATGGGACAGCTCACCAGAAAATCATTAAAATACACTGTAAGCATAAAATACAATAAAAAAAAAAAAAATAAATATAAATTAAATAAACAAAAAATAAAAATAAACAACAAAAAAAGCAATACATTTAAATTCAAATTCTATATGATTTACATAACAATAGCATAATTATGTAAATAAAATAGCCAAATAATACCCCAAAAAAAAAAAAAAATAAAAAAATATAACATTAAAGATAAAATAGATGCAAAATAAAAAAGTGAAAAGTAAAACGCACACAAACACACAATGGGGCACGCACGTACAAAAAAAGTACAAAATAGTACAAATGTCCACAACTACATCCTATAACGACATCGCAATGATAATATCACGGTTATCACGGTTGTCAGCTGCTTGTTTCCACTGAGATATGTTCAAGGCCACACGCAAAACCGGACCCACGTCACACAGAGCATATAGTTTGCGCTACGCCCCTTTTACGGGGAAAAGGATCCCTCAAAGCCAAAATGTTCTGTCTTAGTGACCGTTGTTCGCGTTAGACGTGCTGAAGAGTTGCTGTGCGGTCGGGTGAACAAACAATAAAACTAAGAAACCTTCGCTGAAATTTATTCCCCTGCCATGTCCACAAAAACAGCTGCACTTTAATCGAGGAGCAGGTTACAGCTTTTTCTGGCAAACAAATACTGGTCTAGTTATTAAAATCTTGATTTAATTATAATATTGTTCGTTAGTCTTCAAGTCACAAATAATTACACCAAAAATGAATCGGACCAAAGAAAACAGAAATGTAGTTATTGGCTCTGACAGAAATTATACTAGCTCTGAGTAGGGCTGTCACTGTCAGAGAATTTCTGAATTTCTCCTGCGGTGTGGTACAGCGGCTCAACAGCGTGGTATGCAATGATATCACTCTCCTCCCCCACCCCACATCCCCCGGAGTTACAATATTTCCAGCAGCACTGAAAACTCTCTGTGATGATGCACTTGTTTGGTTGTTGTGTGGATATAGCGTTTGTAGTGGGAGAAGTAACATTTGGCTTTGGAACAAGTGCCGCTGCATCTCTCCAGCTCTCACTGTGGCAGCTCGGGTCGGGTCCGAGTCCCGCGCCGGGTCGGGTACCCGCGGACTTTAAGAGCCCCTAACACGAGCACCAAAGAAAAGAAGCAGGTGTCCACAAAGCGCGATTGGGTGATGGCTGCGTTTACCTCTGTGCGGCGTGGAGCCTTACGCCGGTCCTTTTGCCTGTGGTCACCCGACGGTCTACGCGGATGCACCTTAGGTGTTTTCACACCGACAGTATTGGTGCGGTCCATTCGAACCAAAAGTGGTTAGTTCGGTTCATTTGCGTTGGTGTGAAAGCGTCAATCGGACCGGACCGGAACCAAATCAAGCGGACCGAGGCGCAAAAAAGAGGTGGTCTCGGTTCGCTTGAATCCGCACCAAATGACCAACTTTGGTGCGATTCCTCTGGTGTGAACGCGAACCGGTCCAAACCATAGACAGTGGACAAACGGACTATTCGAAATGCTCATGGGAGGACACGCGTCTCCTCTCTGAAATGACGCGCTGTACGTCCAGCGCAGTAACAGATTGTTGTCCAGACGCAGACGCGATTCATTTTCGAATCATTTTACCAACAATGGCCATTACTGAGAACGTATACATGAAGATCAGAGCAAGTACGTGTGAACGTGTGGTCCAGAGTGAGTCAAAATTGGGGGTGCGTACCCCTGTTCGGGACCTACACGCACAGAGACGACCCGGTGTTCCCGGTCACACAGCAACCAACATTTGTTATTTTAGGCTTTTAATTGACCAAATAATTTCATGGCAATAGGCAATCGCCCATTCAATTGATACAACTTAAAAAAGTCCCTGTTTTTAGCCTAGAGTGAGAAATACAGTCGACTAGATCCAAACCAGAGTCCCGAACCAGCGGGGGCAGCTCCGGTTCAGGCCGGGCTCAGAAGCTGGAGCGGGAGCCTCGACCTGAGAGCCCTTTCCCCGGGAAGAACCAAATGCGCGGAAAGCTCAGAACAACATATAACAAACCAAACTGGACTCACGCTTCTGTCCGTCAGAACCAGCCGCGGTGAGCGCGGAGACAGGAAGCGCGCCCGGACCTGTAGTCCACAGCGCATTCTTGCTCCAGCACGGAAACAGCGCGCAGACGACTGTACCGCTCAGACCCAGTCATTTTGACTGGTCTTGCTCGCCACCGTTTGGAACCAGCACATGGAGGACAGAGCCTCCGGACCATCTGACCAACGAGCCCCGTTGAGGAGCGCTGCTACTGTTGAACTCTGGCTGTGCTTTGTACTTCTACATGTTGCTGTGAGTCACCCGTGGACGGTATCCTATGCGGATGCACCTTAGTCCTGGGTTAGTCCTGGACCCGTGCAGGACTCTGGGTCGGGTCATGTTGGTCACGTGCGGTGATCGCGGTGGGCCTTTTAGTACCGCGGTGATTCATTTTTGCAGTTATAGCTCTGAATTAACTTGCTATAACGTACTTTAAATCTGAACCTGTGAGTCAAATATACTCTGTTAAAATTCAAATAAAAACGCAAAAATACAGGGAAACTATTTCTTACCTGGAGATTCAATGAGATACGAGTAAATGTCCGGGTGAGACACTTGTGGCTCTGAGTGGGGCTGTTGCTCTTTGTACACGAGAGACTGAAGGGACAGGTTTTCATATTTTGTACATTTCTTTTACGATCAACAAGCGGCAAAGTGGTCATGTATTGAGTTGTCATGTTGATTTCATGTATTTTGTGTTATAATCTACACCTAGGAGTTCTGTTTGAATTACGCTTATTGACCCTAATTTGCATTCAAGTCCATGAAAGTGCTCATTTGTTTTTTCCCCCAAAAAGGCATGGGAACGTCTCTCACCAGTCAAATTCCCGGATGTGCCAGTTTAACGTACACTACGGAACATTCTGAATAGTGTAAAAGCAGACCACCCAGACCAGCTTAAAATTTGTCCTCTGCGTTTGACTCGTCCCACACCCACTCAACCCCAACCCTGATGTGGGTCAAACGTGTGGACTGTCCCAGAGCCTGTGTCCTTGTGCTGCAGATAATGAAAGTCACACAGGATTATGTAACACACACACACACACACCTGTAACACACACCAGGGATCAGCTTGCCCTGACAGCTCTGGACTATTACACAGAAATGTTTAATAACAAATAGGTTATGTCATATCCGGGCCTGTCACTGTGACGTGTTTGGAATTTGTTTTGTTTTTGTTTTGTTTTGTTTTTTTCAGAAAGTGTAATTACTGACAAGACAATTTATGCCTTTGACACCGACTGCTCCTGCAAAAAAAAAAAAAGTTAAATAAAAGAGGATTCACATGTGAGACGCTGAAATCTAAACTTGAAACTGATCCAAGGATCCTGCGCGTTTCAGAACATGTTTGCAGAGGAGCAGCTTTTACACAGAACCAGGACATCGAGTTCTGTCGGGTCACACTGCTCCTGACATGTTCAATCCAGAGACACTTACACACACACGGGTCAAACGCAGAGGACACGTTTAACCACGACGGCTTTAAATTTGACATTAACGAAAGCTCCAGGTGAACGCGTCAGGCTTTACTACTGTGAAAGACGAGGACTTTTATAGTGAAAGAGGAGGACTTTTACTGTGGAGGGGTGTTCCTGCTGCAGGGTACACAGTGTCTCAGTGCGTTGCCGCGGGTTACAGTTATTTTTAGATTCATACCACGGCGCGTATGAAGCAGTTTAATAACAATCTGTGGACGCTCTGTTCTCTTTCTCTGGGATTTACAATATTTGTCTTTTTGTGGACAATACAAGTCGGTAATAAGACGGCCCACTCAGATTTTGTATTTACAGTAGAGATTAGGGCTGGGTATCATTAAGGAGTTGCCGACACATACATATCTCGATACAGTGCACTTTCGATTAGATATGATATAATTCAAATCGATTCGATACGGTTCAATAAAAAATAAAGGCTAAATCATGACTGTGATACTAAAAGTCTTTGTTAAATCACTTCTTGTGCAAAGTTCATATGAAACACAAACATTTTAATCCTCAAAACAGTAAAAATGTCAAATGTGTTGCATAAACGAGCTTCCTTTCACTGAACAAGCAACAGAACTGTAGCTCTGTAACAAAATAATTTAATAAAACACACCAAAAAATACTCTTGGTGATATATCGATACAGCAGCCCACGATATCAATATGGTATCATAACATTAAACGATACGATATATCGATATTCCAATATTTTTGCACACCCCTAGTAGAGCTGTCTCAGTTGGGGCAGATATTTGTACTTTTCTGCCATCTGCTTATCTCCACGGTGATGTTATTGCTTTGCCTGGGAGGTTCCACAGTACGGCATTAAACACATATGTCTTCTATCTGATGAAATATGGGTGTTTTTATTTCTCAAAACAACCCCAAAAACGTACTTCTTACAGTGAGCAGGCCCGCTTCTCCACAGATCTGACCTCAAAGTTGGCCTGGTGATGTCTCTATGGAGTTACTTAAATGAAATGCCATACTGTGGAACGGTTACACGCTGCCATTTACACACTGACGTCTAATTGTCGGAGTAGCAGCATAAACATTATTTTTCAAGCATCCCACTACTTTTTTTTTCAGAGTAGCAGCACTTTACTATTTTTCAAACATTTCAATTTCCCGACATGATTAATATTAACGTGACAGCCTTTTATACTTTGCGCTCCCGTATATCATAAGATGCTTGAGCTGGAGCAAAGCAATTGATCAGAGAATACTTCAGCCGCAGAGGATCTCAGACAGTGGGAAAATCTGATTAACTGATTGCTGCAGGAAACAGTCATGCATAAGCCAGCCTTCGGAAAAATATCTAATCCAAAACGGAGGCTGCATGGGCCCTTTGCGCTTCATTCATTTCGTCATGTAGGCGATCACCATCTAGCCTGAATAAATAATGCCATAAATTGCGCCAGCTCAATGAGATGACACTGTCACAGCCCAAAACACACACATGACATGTCGGAATAGCGATACTGAAAGTGTCAGAAAACTGGCACGTCGTAATGAAGGGATGTCGGAATACGCGGCGAACGCCCTGTGAAACATTCCAGGAACAAACAATGGAGTCAAGCAGGTGACAAACACTCTAGTAGAAAAGTTACACAGTGCAGCACAGGCGGATATCATCATTTAGTCGATCTGCTGCTTTAAAATTTGTGGACGGCTTTGTAGTACATTTAAATCACGTAATTTGGGGAGAATAATAAAAATCTGTCCTCGTCCATCGGCCCAAAAATATTGTCACAGTTTCTCGGCCATGGGTTGCTCTGGTTCTTAACACTCTGTATCGCAATCAGCCATGAACAAACTCTAGCTCTTAGAGTCATTTTGTTCGCGACCGACCCATCACTACTAGCTAGTAAAGAAACTAGCGCTATTAGCCTTTAGCCGTAAATGCCTGTGCTGCGGTAATTAATTATATGTGCAAATTTCATCATTCACACCTCTATTCACAGCTCATTTACATATCAACGCAGGTTCAGTAACAAATATATGGCCAATATAGTCACTTTACAATAGACCAATAGAAAACAGCCTGTTTATGTGCAGGAGCTACAGCAGCTAAACAACAACAAATGACCAAAACTAGCTTCAAAGTCGACATATTTCCAACACTTCCCGCTCATACAGGCTCCTCTCACATCACAAGTCTGCACTAATAAATGTCCTTTTAATCCAAACTCAAACAGATTGTCCGTAAAAAGAAAATAATCTCAGTGTTTGGATCTGTGTCTGTGGGTGTAAACAAGAGCGCGTGACTCTGTGGTGTGTTCAGGGACAGTATTGACACACAGACAAATGACTCCACAGATAAACACTGATGCGGAGACACATATTAGGACATTTATCTGTCTGTAAATTGGATTAAATGAACATAATGTAGAGAGTCTAAGATTTATAACGAGGTATAACATGCCCACGTGAAATATCGGCCCACATCAGCAATATCGGCCAACTGATAGATCAGTCGGGCTCTAGTACAAACATGTTCTGAAATGTGATTCTTGTATTAATGTATCATTTCAGTTTTCTGCCTTTGTCAATTCTTCTGGACTTGTCTAAAAATTTCAGTTATTAAAAAATAAAATCTTAAATCTAATCACGGTTCTTGTCAGAGAAATTGCCGATGGAAGGAAAACTACAGCTCATTTCTCTTTCTGTTTCAGTCATGGGACGTGTTTTTCCGTAACGCGAACGCCGGAGCGCCCCCTGGTGCCGCGTACCAGTCTCCTCTGGGTCTGAGCCCGGCCATGATCTCTCCTCTCGGCGCCGCTGTCTCTGCTCAGCCCAACGTGGAGAAGCTGGTGGAGGATCATTTGGCGGTGCAGTCGCTCATCAGGGCCTATCAGGTACGACTGGACTCTGAGACGGCTTTATTATTTATTCAGTCTGTCGTCAACACGCACAGGGAATATTTAAAATATTCTGTCTGCAGATTACACTCATGATACTACTGAAGCCTCACAGTATTCATTCACTCTTTAAGACTTTAAGACAACCTAAGACTGTTTGTTTTCTCACAGTCTGAGGATATGATTGGTGAGTCTAGAGCAGGGCTGTCCAAACTCTTTTCATATTGATATTATGTGTTGATACAGTGAGTCATTCATATTGTGCTTTTTACTCGGCTATGACAGGCAAGACGAGGCAAGTTTATTTGTAAAGCACAATTTGCACACAAAGTAATTCAAAGTGCTTCACACAATAAGAAATACATCAAAATCACAATACAAACAAGTCAAAACATAAATAATCATCAAAAAATTAAAAAGAGACATTAAATGAGAGAGAAAAGTGAGGAATGAAAGCTGACAGAACCTCGATACGTTGTTATAAGGCTTGGAACAGTAATTTTAGGCCTTTAACACAAAGCAGTGTGATGCTATTGAAGTAAAAATTAACACACTATGTAGTCAAAAGTGGACAGTTGGGGGCCTCGTATTTGGACACTCCTGGTCTAGTAGTTTATAATTCATCAATCAATCGCATCATTAATAGTAAAAAAAAAAAAAATCCTGCTGCAGTTACTTACAGGACTTGAGTTTACATTTTGATAAATGCTAGGGATGTAACGATGGCTGAAATCTCATCAAAAGTCTCAGTAATATCATGGGCCATCTCATTATATCCAATCTCAAGTCTCTTTGCTTAAATTAATTGTTTTTGGTGAGGCACAACAGGGAACTACCGTATTTTCTGGACTATAAGTTGCTCCGGAGTATAAATTGAACCAGACAAAAAATGTGTAATGAAGAAGAAAAAAAACATATAAATCGCATTTTTGGGGGAAATGTATTTTAATAAATCAGAGACCAGAAACCGACATTTCATCTTGAAACACAAGTTACAGTAATAACAACAGAACAGAAAACAACAAGCTGAATAGATATCTATATAAACATAACAGAACACGTTTACCAAACTCTCCATCTCACTCCAAATCACTAAATCCATTCAATCCATCTTCATCCTCAGTGTCACTTCTGAGCAACACCGCCAACTCTAGTCAAATCTGTCTTTTAGCCCGCGGTGAGCAATGAGCAATGTTTTCTTCACTGCAGTTCAAGTATCCTCCACTTTTCCCCAGTCCCTCACAAGTTTCTCACTCACTCCAAACTTTCTTTCTGCTGCTCGATTACTGTTTTCAGCTGCAGATTTCACGACTTGCAGCTTGTAATCTGCAAAATACGATTAACAGTTTATCTCCGTGTGATGAAATAAGTTCTGATGGTAAATAAAAATTAGTGAGTGGGATACGTCTTAATGCGCCGTATGCGTTAAATCAGATGAGTGCGGAAATGACGAGAAGAAACGTCTCAAACTTCAGTAGCCGGACATCCACTCAGACCTGATCGATACACCTATCCCCGCCCCCTGAGAGAATCTGAAATCTGCTGAAATTCTACGAGACACTGACATGATACAGACAGGACAGAGACTCTTTCTGCAGGAGACATGCGCAGTAGAGCCAAGAGCCAAGTAGAGTAGAGACAGTGGTACAGGAGGAACAGGAGCAGCCGATACTGACACACAAGACTAGAGCGCCCCCTCGAGGCTGTCAATGTGAAAATAACGTGAAAAATAATAAATAAAATAAAAATAATGTGAAATTATACTATATATTAAGAACAAAAATGTGGCTGTTTGCTGCAGGTGTTCTAATCAGTAGGAGCAAATAGAGGGTGCTCTTGGAAAAAAGGGTCAAAACTCAAACACAACAGATTCCAGGCAACTCCAAATCAGTAGAAAAAATTAACACATCGCATGAGGAAAATATAATTAAAAGGCCTTTATTTGAATGGCCAAAGCCAACATGTTTCGACCTTAACTGGTCTTCATCAGGGCTTAAATTAAATTATAATATTTAATCAATTAAGCCCTGATGAAGACCAGTTAAGGTCGAAACATGTTGGCTTTGGCCATTCAAATAAAGGCCTTTTAATTATATTTTTCCTGGTGCAATGTGTTAATTCATTCTACTGTTTTGGAGTGCCTGGAATCCGTTGTGTTTGGATGTGAAATTATACATTTTAATATATAAGTCGCACCAGAGTATACGTCACAAGAAACACCCAAACCATGAAAAAAAGTGCAACTTATAGTCTGAAAAATACGGTACATGAAAAATAACTGTTATGAAGCACTTTTAAATCTTAGTTCTTTGGATGATGTCCCGCAGTGTTTGTATTTCTCCTCTACTTCTGTATTTTATTTGCACATGTTTCTGTATATCGCACATGTTTCTGTATATTGCACGTGTGTCCTTGTTGCCGCGGCGACGGGCAGGTGATCGGGCATCACTCGGCGCAGCTCGACCCTCTGGGCATCAGCTGCGTGAACTTCGACGAGGCTCCCGTGTCCGGCTTCCAGGACGTGGGTGAGCTCCGGACGCCACGTTTGGGACTGTGATGCTAACGGTGCCCCCCTCCACCCACCCACCACCGCCACCCCCCCTCTCCTGTCACCTGTCACCTGTCACCCCCCGTCACCTCCACCTGTCTCACCCGCCCTCACCTCCGCCCGTCTCACTCTCACCGCAACGACGGCCGCTTCGCTTCTTCCGCTCTTTTCTTTTGTTTCGTTGCACTTCCCCCCCCCTTGCTCTTTCCATCCTTGCGTTCACCTCGTCATGCTTTCATTCGCTTTCTCCGTCTTCTCTCTCCCTCCCTCTTCCTCTATCCCTCTCTTCCCCTCCCTCGTCTCTCCTTTCTCTCTCTCTCTCTCCTTTCTTGCTCTTCTGCTTCTTCTTTCACTTCTCTTTGTCCTCCTCTAACCTCCTCTTTCTCATTTCTTCTGTCTCACTTTCTCTCTCTTTCTCCCCCTCTACTTCTTCCTCCCTCTTTCTCTTCCTCTCTCTCTCCCCTCTCTGTCTCTGCTCACTCTCCTCACTCTCCTCCCCGCTCTCTCTCCCACTCTTCTCTTCTTATCCCTCCCTCCTCTTCTTTCACTCTCTCTCTCTCCCTCCTCTTATGTCTTCTTTCTTGCTCTTTTGCTTCTTCTTTCACTTCTCTCTTTCCTCCTCTAACCTCCTCTCACTTTCTTACTCTTTTCTCTTTTTCTCTTTCTCCCCCTTTACTTCACCGTCCTTCTTTTTCTCTCTCGGTCTTTCTCTCTCTTTCTCTCCCCCTTCCCCCACTCTCTCTCTTCTCTCTCCTTATCTCTCTCTCCTCTTCTTTCACGCCCTCTCTTCTCTCTCCCTCCTCTTATCTCTCTCTCTGCTCTTTTCTGCTCCTCTGCTTCTTCTTTCACCGCCTCTTTCACTTCTCTCTTTTCAACTTTAACCTCCTCTTTCTCGTTTGTTCTCTCTCTCGTCCTCTGACTTTCTCTTTCTCCTCCTCTCTCTCCTTCTTACTCCCCCCCTTCTTCACTTCCTACCCCTCTCTCCTCTCTCTCTCTCTCTCTCTCTCTCTCTCTCTCTCTCCTCTCCTCTCCTCTCCTCTCTCCTCTCTCTCTCCTCTCCTTCTCTTCTCTCTCTCTCTCTCCTCTCTCCTCCTCTTCTTCTCTTCTTACCCCTCCCCTCTTTTCTTCCCCCCTCTCTCCTCCTCTCTCCTCCTCTCCCCCTCTTCTTCTCTTCTTTCTCCTCCTCCCCTCCTCTCTGTACTTCTCTTCTTGTCTTCTTACCCCTCCTGTCTCTCCCCCTCTTCTTATCTCCCTCTCTTCTTACCCCCCTTCCCCTCCTCTCTCTCCTCTCCTCCCCTCCTCTTTCTTCTTCTCTTCTTACCCCTTCTGCCCTCCTCTCTCTCCCTCTCTTTTTCTCTTCTTACCCCTCCTTACCCTCCTCTCTCTCCTCCCCTCCTCTCCTCTCTCTTCTTACCCCTCCTCTCTCTCTCTCTCCTTCTCCTCTTACCCCTTCCCTCCTCTCCTCCCCTCCTGTCTCTCTCTCCCTCTCTCCCCCTCTCCGGTGGGTGGTTGCTCTTTGTTTTTGTGCCTCCTCCCCTGCCGTAGATCCGCGGGCACCATGTGGCTCAGCTGGACCCGTTGGGCATCATGGACGCCGATCTCGACTCTTGTGTTCCCACTGACATTATCACGTCCTCCGACAAGCTGGGTAATCATTCCGCCTTAAGCCCTCCATTCCACCTTAAACTGCTCCTCTCTCTCTCTCTCTCTCTGCCTCTTTGTAACACGGGTTTGACCGGACCGGGACTGAGCTGAAGGCTGTGGACCAAACCGGGACTAGACCGAGGACTGGACCAAGGAACTAAACCAACGAACTAAACCAACGAACTAAACCACGGACTGAACCGGGGACTAAACCAAGGAACTAAACCAGGGACTAAACCACGGACTGAACCAGGGACTAAACCACGGACTGAACCAGGGACTAAACCACGGACTGAACCAGGGACTAAACGGACTGAACGGACTGAACACGACTGACCAGGGACTGAACCAGGGACTGAACCGGACTGAACCACGGACTGAACCAGGGACTGAACCACGGACTGAACCAGGGACTGAACCAGGGACTGAACCAGGGACTGAACCCGGACTGAACCAGGACTGAACCAGGGACTGGACAAGGGACTGGACAAGGGACTGGACCAAGGACTGAACCAGAGACTGAATCAGAGACTGAATCAGAGACTGAATCAGAGACTGAATCAGAGACTGAACCAGAGACTGAACCAAGGACTGGACTGGGAACTGAACCGGGGAGGGGACTGGACCGGGGACTGGACCGGAGACTGGACCGGAGACTGGACCGGGGACTGGACCGGGGACTGGACCGGGGACTGGACCGGGGACTGGACCGGGGACTGGACCAAGGAACAAAACCAAGGAACTAAACCAGAGACTGAACCGGGGACTGGACCAAGGAACTAAACCAAGGACTAAACCACTCCACCTTAAAACTGCTCCTCTCAGAACCCAGACATGAACATAAACTTAGACCGAACCAGCACTAAACGAGGACTTAAACCAGGACAGGACCTAGACCGCCCTAACCTCATTCCACCTTAACCTGCTCTGCTCTCTCTGCTTCTTTATACCTTGTGTTTATCTGGGCTGGGGCTTAGTTGAAGGCTGTGGACTGGACCTTAAGACGGATTATCTCTCCTTAACAGCTGACCCTTGGTTTATTAGACCACAGTGACAATCAAATATTAACTAAAGGCCACCACACACTACAGGAGAATTTGCCTGATTTTGGCTGTGATTTCTTCTCCCTGAGTTCCCTCCGGGAGAAGTTTTTGTGTCAGTGTGACTCTGAGCTGCTCCGTCAGATCGTAACCACCAAACATCAGCAACGCTACGATAACAGCAAACAAAACAGAGCGTCAGGGGCAGACAGAGTGACAAAAACAGAAACGCAAGATACAAACTCGGGAAATAACGAAAATAATGAGAAGACTTTATTCCTCACCTCTCATAAAGTGGTAAATTTACACTGCAGCATCTCATCCACATTATCCATAGAAATTGTCCTCCACAAATAATGACCCCGGTCCACAAAACAGTGCTGTGAATCCAATTTGAGTCGTTCTTTAAAAGTAAAAAGGTGGGAGTAGTTCCTCACGTGTGTCTGTTTACATCCACACAGCGCACGGATCGCGGTGAAGCTGCAGATTAACCATAGTGACTCTACTTCCTGTGGACTTTATCTCCGATCTTTTATGCTTTAAAAATCACGTATCTGAACTAGGGATGGGCATTCGATGAAATTTTCTTAATCGATCGTCGGAAGAATTAACGATCGATTATCGATTAATCATTAACGTTTTTATATTAAAATGATCATCATTATTATTACTATCTGCACTAATCTGCATAAATAAACTCAACTTTACGACATATAAACCGTAATGACTCTAGAGCCACATCAGCCCGTTTGACATTATAATGTGTTTAATTCAGTTTTGTGCAAATCTCACAGAAACAAAACTTAAAACCGCATCGCTAATTTGCATAAACTAAGCGAAGATAAAACTATAGCTCTTGTGCATTGATGCGGTCAATTTCTGTTGGATTAAAAGACATGACTCAGTGGAATACAGGTCAGTGTGACCAGATTTGCGCTTGTCAAATCCAGGACACCGTATGGAGGGTGGGAGGTGGGAACTCGTCATCGAAATTGCGCGACTCTCACCTGGAAAAACTTTTTCCCACTGAACACCGAAACGTATGTTCCTGCTTTGTACACTGTGCACATGGACTCACACTTGTCCGAACGCAACGGAAAGCGTGGAATTTCTTGTACAAGTCATTGTTAAACACGCATTTGTGCTTCGGTACGTTGCAGGCTGACTGAATGTTTCTGTTTGTGTCTCCTTCTGAGTGCAGAGAGCTACATGTACGGACCAGTTTGGTCACACTACGCACAGCAACCTACATTCGGTTTGTCGATTAAAATTAACGTAATCGATGAAATTCTTAATGATCAATTAATCATGCCCATCCCTAATCTGAACTGACACAATCATGCTCAAAACTGTATATCCTGTGGTCTACAGACAGATCCCACTGCAGTCGTTGTGATCGGAGATTGTAAGTCTCATCAGATTCTCCTCGTGTCTGTTCTGTGCACTTTTTATTGCACATTTAAAAATCGTTTATGAACAAAAAATCCTGTAGTGTGTGGCGGCATTTTCTCAGAAAACCTCCGTGTAAAGTCTCTCAGGGTTTGGTTTAGCCCTAGTTAAGATTTCTTTTAAATGTGCACTATAACTTTTTTGTTGGTGGGTTCACCACCTGCTTGTCTCCATGGAGATCTTACCTGGACTGAAACCGGACTGGACCTGGACTGGACCTGGACTGGACCTGGACTGGACCTGGACTGGACCTGGACTGAAACCGGACTGGACCTGGCCTAGTCCTGGCCTAGTCCTGGCCTTTCTCCACAGCCTTCTTCTGAACCTAGACTCTCTGTTTCTTTATTTAAATGTGTGAAACTGTGAGGTTTTAACAGGGACTAGTGCTTTGTTTTGGTTTGTTGCTTTGTTCTGGCCAGTGATTCAGTTTAAGGTGCTATCGTGTTTGAACTGATCTTTTACCGCATTATAATTTTGTGTCCTCCTCCAGAACATCCTGCAAATTATCCTTTGTCCTTAAATAGAAACAAAACAGGAGTTGTATGTTTTGATGAGGAAACAACATTATACCCTGGTAACGTTTAGCGGAATCAAATTGCCAAAAGTTATGGTTTGGATTTAGTTTGGGTGTTTTTTGGTTCTTGTTTTTTGCTCTTAAGATGAAGCTTCAAATACTATCTTTATTTTAGCTGAATAAAAAAAACTCCAAGTGTCAGTTTTAGAGCAGTATTTGGGTTACAGACAGAGCCTCTGAAAAACGCGCTAACCAACTGTGGAAACTCGGCAAAGGTAAGAACACACCAGTTTAAACTCTCGACTTGGGATTCCTGAAATAATCTAAAATCTTAATATTCTAATCTGTGAAAATGACACCAAGGACTTTTGGAAAAAAACTCATTGAATCTTATTTTACTGGTGCATTTTTGGAGATCGGAATTGCATTTTCCAAACTTGAAGAGGTGATGGTGTCGACACGACACACGCCACACGCCACATCACTGTTCTACTCTCGCTCCAGGTGGCACTCATCTGTGTTTCCTTCACATTTCAGAGCACATTTTTGGGTGCACCCGGTGTCTCTTTCTTACCTCGTCAAAGCCTCAGTGCCGGCTGAATATCCTCCGCTAAGAACTGTCTTCAAAAATCTTGCACCTGTAGTTTAGACTGCGTAGCGCTTTTTGGAGCCCAAATTTTTCATCTATCTGAGCAAACACACTAACTCCCTGAGCGTTCCTTGGACCTCTGTGAGCAACATCGACATGTCCCCCGGGAACAAAAGTGAGCCCGGGGAGTGCGACGCCACTGGTCTTGACCTTAGAGGGAACACTGGTGCCAAGTGTATTTTCTATTAAGTCCCATTGACTTTTACTGATCATTTTTGTAGAAGAATATTTTTTCTCTGTAAACAGGAATGCATTTGACTGGCTTTTGAAACAAAGGAGCTCACTGGTCACATGTTTCTCTCTGAAGCTGTTTTCAGGCCGGCCGGTGCTGGTTCCTGCACCAGTTACACTGGGAACCAAAGTGCTCACAGGTGAACGACCTGGGTTCAAACCGTTTATGTGAACCCATGACGTGTCATTGACACAGGGTGTGGATTTGTCACTAAATAAGAGCAAGGCCGTATGAAAGCGGACGTCACGGCAAAGAAAATAACAATCACGGATCCAGCAAATATTTGTTCTCCTCCGCTGACCACTGCTGTCTTCTTGGCACTTGATTATTCCACCATGTTCCACACAAAGGTTTTTTTGTGTGTTTATTTTACCTCATGTGACCCGGATGAACCTGCTGACATCTACTGTGTTGTCACTGTTTGCTTGGAAAAAACCAAGTTTTACTTGGTTCCCAAATGCTCTAATTATCAGCGTGAACACGTGAGTCAGTTCGAAATTAAGTGCAGGAACCAGCACAGTCTGCCGGCCTGAAAACCCTGTCAGATGAACAGAGTTTAGTGCTTGGCTCATTGGTTCTGTAGAAATCCTCCGTGTTTTTCAGTCTGTTGTGTGAAAAATAATATATCTCTTGTTTATAAATAATAAATCAATTTTGCGAAGCCCAATGAGTTTTTGGAATACAGATAAAGGTTTATTTTTGTTACATCAGATATGGACAGGGCCTTAACCCGATCCTGCCCTGGCCAGAGACCAACAGCCCCTCTCGAGTCTCCTCTCTCCAGTCAGCCCTTCTCTCCATCTCCTGAGTATCTCCCCCCAGAGCCCCAGAGCATCTGAGCTCTGAGTATTTATACAGAAATACAAGTTACATACATATCAAAGCAGAGTGACATTTGTTTCACAGCCTTTTGATAATCATATGAGGACAGCTAAGACAACACACAGTTTCCTGGGGGTGGGACAGTTGTGTCTGCTGAGCCTTTACACATGCTAATGACTGGTCTGGGTCTGGGACATCACATTCATTTACCCAGAGACAGATTGAGAGAAATCTTTCCACAATATAAAATTCCATCAAAAGTCCCCTGTGACATCTTATCACGTTTTTTCCTCGTAAGCAGCGGCATGTGCTTTGATGCAGGCGGACCATGTGTGTCCCTGATTGGGTAATCAACCTGTCAATCACAGTCACTCGGGGAGATTCACTGGTGATCAGACTCACCTTCAGAAAGTCCTGGAGAAGTGTGTATTCTGGATTCCAGGCGAGGACGGCCTGGGACCAGCGCACACTCCAGTGAGTTTACGGCCCATCCAGTCACGGCTGTTTACTTGTGCCTCAAATGCAGAAGACCTCTCCTTTGGAAATGGAACAATTCAGCAAGAAGATGATATGAATTCTGTTTCTGTAACCCAAATGACCTCCCCTTTAACCTGGGGTACCTGACTTGTCTCAGATCGCTGTGCGCCGTTTATCGATCGCAAACCTGGATGAACGAGCCGTGTGCGTCACTTTCTCTTCTGGATGCGAGTGTGTTTGCTGTGTGCCCTCGGGCCTGCTTCATGTCTGTCTGAAAAAGCTGTTCTGAAGCCGTGCACGTGTCTGAAAACTCATGCATGTGAATACTCGAAGTGCCAAAGGGTTAGAGAGGGATAGGGACTAGACGAGGGGTAGTTTAAATACTTCTTCCGTTCAACATTTGAAAATCAGGTACCCCAGAACAAAAACAGCAGTAATCGATCCAAACTGTACTCAGAAGGGTTCAGAGTTGTACTTCATGGTTTAGTTTGGCTCTGTTTCTGGCTGCGTTACGTCTGAGTTGCGGTTGCCATGTGGTGCCTGCTGGCCTGTTGTCATGTGAATTGTATTCTAATGGTATGGGTGTCTCTCCACTGCCCCCCGCTGGACCAGACGTGTCAGTGTTCAACGAGAGGATCAGAGTTCTGACTGTGGGAGGTAGGGACTCTGCTGCTGCTGCTGCTGCTGCTGCTTTAGACCTTTAGAAATGATACAGGAGGAGGTTTCACTGGACAATGGCATAAAAACATCTGTTCACCCAGAACTAAACTAATAAATAAACTAATAAATTCAAACATACACTTAAACACTTAAACTTTATTGCTATCGCTATTAACGTCGTTATCCTAGATTGACTATGTTACAACCCAAAACATACACATGTCTCCAGTAAGAACAGTTGGTCAATTAAATACAATCAATCAATGAACCTGCCCACGGACGACAGGTGGAAATTAATACTGATGCTACAACCTGGCACAATGCATCTTTCCTGTTAAGGTTCATGTAAATTGTGCACTGTTCCAAGTATTTAGTCCGTCTCCCTCCAGAGCTCTATGAATGGAAATGTAAAGATAAAACCATACATACCTCGATACACAGGCCACGATAAGATGCATACCTTAATACAGTGCACTTTTGGTTTGACACAATACATTTCAAATCGATTCGATACGGTTCAATAAAAAAAAAAAGACTAAATCATGGCACTTCTTGTGCAAAGTTCATACGAAACACAAACATTTTAATAATCAAAACCGTGAAAATGTCAAATGTGACGCATGAACGAGTTTCCTTCCTCTGAACAAACAACAAAACTGTAGCTGTGACAAAATAATTTAGTGAAATATACTAAAAAAATACTGTTGGAGATTTATCGATACAGCAGCCCACGATATCGATACTGTATCATCACATTAAATGATGGATATATCAGTATTTTCATATATTTACACCCCCCTATGGAACTGTTTTACCTCCATACAGTGTTTTATACCCAATGGAACATTTCCATGGAAATAAACAGGAGGCCAAATATGAGTCAGGTTTGTGGAGATTCAAGAACGTTCAGTAACGATGCAGGTTTTTGTTTTCTATGCAGCAACCAAAATCAAAACACAAAACTCGAGAGACTCAGGAGAGTAATTTACCAATTATGACTCAATGTATAATAATAATAATATAAGATATATGAGATGATAAGGCATCACTACCTATAAACTACACTAATGCTAAAGCTAACAGTTCTCGGTTATAGCCCGATTTTAACTGCTCAGCTGTAGCGTTTCACTCTGTCTTCCAGTGAAATCTTCCTCCAGTTTCAGATCCAAGAAGCTCTCAAGAGACAAACTTTATTTAAACATCTGTTCAGCAGCGTTTACTTTCTGCTGTTTCCTGAGTGCTTCCTGTTAGCTTGAATCGCTTTGTTAGCTTCATTAGCCTTTAGCGTTAGCTTCTTCAGCCTGTTCTAATGGAAAGGCAGTAGTTTCAGCTTTAGCTCAGTGCTTTTGACTGTGTGGAAGTGTTAGCAGCGCGGCTAAAGCTGCAGATTTGTGATGTGTTGCAGAGTCGGTGTACAGAGGCATCATTCGACGCGGTAAACCCGAGCTCTGCTAAGCCTGGGTCAAATGAGCCTGGTTCACTTGAGTTTGGATTAGTGTAAGCCTGGCTCTGAGTTTGAGCTGGAGTTTGTCATGTTTATTCCTCTCCTCCGTCAGAATGAGAGCAGTTTTCAATCAACAACTTTATTCATCCAAAAAGAGCAGTTCAGTTTGTAGCTTCGGTCCTCTTCATTATCTGGAGCTCTAAATTAGCGTCAGCATTGACTGCCCACATGTCCTTGTGCACGAGTCTCACTACAGCAACAAAAATGGACAAACTTCATCTGTATTATGCCATCATTCTCTTTTACACATTAAAGCAACGCCCCATAACCCTCTGGATTTGTCACATGTATGATTCCATGGAAGTAGAAAGTTCATATACTTCAGAACTGTCTCCATGGAAATAGAAAAGTTTATCCCATATTGTGGAATATTAAACCCAGAGGAACGGCATTTCCATGGAAACAAACAGGAGATCATATCAGAGTTAGGCTTGTGGAGGTTTAAGTTCAATCACAGTGAGGCTTTATTTGAACTTGAAGCGAGTACAGTTTGTTCAAACATGATTGAACAGCTAATAAACCTAAGCAAATAAAGTATAGAATAAAACGAAGCCAACTGACCTGAGAGTGGGGCTGGGAATCATTCAGAAGTTGCCGATACGATACGGTACATCGATACATAGGCGATGATGCGATACATATCTTGATACGGTACGATTCCATTTCGATATATATTTCAGATCAATTCGATATGGTTCAGTAAAAATAAAGGCTAAATCATGGCTGTGATACTAAAAGTCTTTGTGAAACCACTTCTTGTTCATTTTAATCATCAAAACAGTGAAAATGTCAAATGTGTCACATAAACGAGTTTCCCTCCTTCGAACAAGCAACAAAACTATAATTTAGTAAAATATACCAAATACCAAATATACCAAAATACTCTTGGCGATATATCGATACAGCAGTCTTCGATATCGACACTGTATCATCACATTAAACGATACGATATATTGATACTTCTATATTTTTGCACACCCCTACCTGAGAGTACACTTTAATGTTTTTAGATTACATAAACACTTTTACGGATTTGCTTTTCAATCTAAACTATGTAAAACTTTATTCGTGGAGACAGACGGCCGATTGATTTTGATTGGCGCCACAGATCCAGAACATACACAGACTGAAAAGGCGTCGGCTGAAGCTTGAGCTTATTCTGTCCACCCTTTATTCCTTCGTCAGAGCGTCGTCTTGACACCAGTTCATCTTCATAAATACAGCGACAGGAAACAAACAAGTCAGTAACTGTACAGCAAAGTCCTACAGCGCAAACTAAGTGTCATAATTCATGTACCTGCCCAGAGTTAAACATTTACACTTCTTTTTAAAGTAAAGAGACTGGTGCACAATTTTAGGTCTTTCTGTAAAGTTGTTCCAGAGCTCCACCCCTTTAACAGATTTACAAAATTTCATAATATTTGTTCTGATTTTCTTTCTGATAAACATGACCGTACTTCTGAGCTATTTCAGATTTTGACGGAAGTGATGAAGCGCTTTTTTGTAATGTTAACATAAGAGAGAGCACCTTTATTTGTCCCACATTGGGTAAATTACACTAATGCGTATCTCCTGTTGTCTGCATTTTAAATTAAAACGGCGTCTGACAGAATTTGACATCAGGATGCTGGTTTAGTCACAAGGTTTAGTCATGTGTTTCAGAGCCATGTTCTGAGAGGAGAGGAACGTCTGTTTGTCCGATGGCTTCAGCGGCCGGTCCTGTGTTTTGGTCAGACTCTGGGGAAGTTTTAGTTTGTGTCTCGACGTAAATAAACGCTGCGTGCTGATTGGCTGAAGAGCTGTGGTTAGCTCTGCTCCGATTGGCCTGTGTGTAGTCGTCTTTTGTTTTTGAGTGGATGTGGTTTAGGTCGGGTTTGTATCTCTCCTCTCTCCTCGTCTCTTTGTTTTCCTCTCTTCCATCTCACTGTTCACTAAACACTCACTCGCTTCATTGCTTTACTTACATGTGCTCTGTTTTCTGTTTCTTTTGGAGAATGTGTTTTGCATCTTCCTGATTGATTGAAAAGTTTTGTTATAAAATGTCTCTAAAAAAGCTCTTAAATGTTTGTATAAAGGCTGTGTTTTACGTTAGTAAACAGATAAAGTCCAAAACTCCAAAACCAACCATTTACTACATCAAGTTTAACTCAAGTGAGATTCAGTTACGTCTAATGGTCAGTGTTAAACGTTTTGAATGCCAGTATTTCATCGACGACTCCTCTTTGTTACTATTGCTGTCAGGCCTGTCATTTTGTTAATATTATTCACCCGCTCCAAGTGAAATAAAAATTGGGTCAGGATCACAGTTTTGTCTGTAATTTAAGATCTTAATTATTACGATTAACATTAATAACAGACCAATCAGGTGCCTTTTTTCCCCGTGCAAGAAAGGAGCGTTACCGTCAACAGCCTCACTCTGGATTGGCTCTTTGGTTGCTATGATACTCTCGGTCAGAATTCCAAATATGGAAGTCGATTCCAAATTAGGCGCTGTAGACCTTCTTCACAACGGCCGGAAGTGTCGAGCTGTAGGTTTGTGGAACTTGCGGTTAATGTTTTTCTCTGGCAAAATGTGTGTGAATGTCAGTATTTTCTGTATTTTCCAGCAGCTTCATAAATCTGCCCCATCACCAAATCTTCAACCAACAAGGTTAAGGTTCTTTATTTGTCATTCAAGCATACGAGAGAAACACATGACAGAACGAAATGTGCTCCCTGAGGCCCAGTGATCCAGGGAGAGATAAAAACAATAATAAATAAGCTATATTAGAAAGTAAATACATCAAAAACAACAATATTTAAGTAAAAGGTCCACAAAGGATAAACATTCTAACGTGAAGAATTTATCCACGACTATCAAGGTAAGAAAGATGAAAGCTTAAAGGCGAACAACGACAACTCATTCGTGAACTACTGAGCAAAACTAACGTTATGGTGTCCTAAAGATGTTTCGCATTCGAACTCCACAAATCTCTCTATTTATGCTAATACTGACATCACGAAATCGATTTTTAATTCTAATTGTAGAGTCAGTCTGAGTGAACAAGTTCCTTCTGTTTTATTCATGACTATAATGTTAGTTTTGTTCAGTGTGTCACTAATGCGACGTCGTTGTTTCCTTTAAGTTTTGGTCTTTCTTCTCTTGATAGTTGTGGATAAATTCTTCACGTTAGAATGTTTATCCTTTGTGGAGCTTGTTGGTTGAAGATTTGTTGATGGGGCAGATTTACGAAGCCGGTGGAGAACACACTAGACATTTCCACAGATATTTTGCCACAGAAACTACAGCGGGGAAACTTCTGGCTGTTGTGAAAAAGATCTATAACTTGCAGCCCTGATGAGCTTCACTTGACTGGAGCCGAACACTGTTTGACGTCACGCTCACTTAGTCCACTTCTTTATATATGGTCTGTGGTAACATCCAGAAGCCGAGTTTAGTCTGTTGGAACCGGTTTGAGTCATGAGGATTTATTACGAGAGAGGAGCGTGACACTGCCCTTGTTTTTACGGCTTGTGGATGAGAGCCAGAATTTCTTGATTTCAAAAATAGTTCAACCATCTTTGAAACATTTTCTACCACTGACCACTGCTGGAAGAATGAGCAATTACAACACCATGACACAAAAAGGTCAAATTTGTTCTCCAGAGTCTTTGTCTGCCCCAAACCACAGCGTTTTTCGGAGGCTTATCCATTCAAAATCTGATCACTGACCATTGTGACATGACTGAATTGCGATTTCAATTACAGTTTGATTAATCGCTCAGCCTTCATTGAAATCCATTGGAATAAAAACGCCTTAGTGCTGTACCAGATTTTTTTCCACATATATCTGAGCAAAGTGTATTTTACCCCAGTACAGACACAGTATATTGTCACTGTGTCTCGTTTTTGCATCTTTAGCATTTTATTGTCTGATAATCAAGAAGTGCACTGTTAGCATGCTAGTTGTTTTTTATTGTGATGGTCTCTGAGAGTTGTGAAAAGTGCTTATAAACTCACTGTGGTGAATAATGAGGAAGCTCTGAGTGCAGAAGGTAAGTGAGGAGGAACTCTGAACCACGGCAAAACTTTTAAAATGAACTAGTGGTGTGTGTTGTTTTTTATAACGTTTTTAAGAAAATAAAAATCAGGTACAGCCCCGGTAGAACAGTGCATTAGACTTGTGCTGAACGCAGCCTTTGCAGTGAATCTAGAGCAGTTACATGCACAAAAGTAACAACACCCTTTGTCTTTCTGTATAAACTCTAAATTACATATTATATTTATATTATATGTTATATTATATTACAGAAAATTTACTTTTGTGAGCTTTAAGCCTTGTTATAATGCCTAAACTTTTCAAAAACAGACCTGGAGTTGTTTTGTTTCATTTGCACATGTTTGAGTAACTTTTTATTATTAGTCTGTCCATGTCTCCAAACCTCAAAATGCTCTGTTCCACCTTGTGATGTCATTTAGTGGTAGTTTTCAAGTTAACTACTACATTTTACCTTTAGTTGAGTAGAGAAGGTGTATGTCATCTTTTAAATTATTTCTTAAGACAAATTTTTATCGATTGGCCTTCCTTTAGTTGGTTTTAGCTTGATTTTATTCTTTATTTATTTTTGTTGTATTTTTTTTATTTTATTTATTATAATTAATTGGATTGTTTGCATCATTGTCTATTTTTGTAGGCTTTCTGTTTGCTATTTTTATACTTTTTGTATTGTTCTTTGCTGCTTATACAGAACTTTGTAAACCTTGTTAAAAGTACTTTATAAATGTATTATATTTATAAGATTTATTATTATTATTATTATTATGGAGGATATGTATTACATGACATCACAAGGTGGAATAGACTGTTTTCTGTTTTGCGACAAGAACTCAGCCTAAATACGCAAAGTTTGTCTGTGAAAGAAAACACAACTCCAGATCTGTCTGTGATGAGGAATTATTATTATAAGAGAAAAAGTATAATAAAAAACAATAACAGTGTGTTTTTTCTGTGCATGTAAACTGTCATTTTCATCCAGTTCATGTTTAACTCTTGAATTTTTAACCCGTCTTGTTTTTCTCTGGCTCGTCTGCCTCCTCCCCCTCGCTCTCTCTCCCCCCTCCCTCCCTTCCTCCTCTGCTCTGGGGCATGCTGGGAATTGTAGGATTCTACGGTCTGGACGAGTCGGACCTGGACAAGGTTTTCCGTCTGCCCACGACCACGTTCATCGGAGGAGCTGAGAGCGCGCTGCCTCTGAAGGAGATCATCCGCCGACTCGAGGTGAGACTGAAGCTGTGCTCGAATGTCCACACTGTGTCCTACAGGGGGCAGTGTTTAGGGGTCACGCCATGTTTAGCAGTGTCCAGAATGTCCAGTGAGTGAAAATGTAGCGCACTCAAAGTTTCCCACAATGCAGCTTGAGAAGTAGTGGGCATCACTGGTCACTACACCAGTCAATATAGACCACAATGCAAGAGTTGGAAAAACGACAGCAGACATATACAGGTCTTTACCTGGACACAACACTGGACACGGCGCTGGTTTATGGCACTGCTGATCCTCAAAAAGCAAATAATCCAGTCTGTTTATGTGAATAACGTACGGTTATTATTGGTCCATAAACAGTTGTGTGTTAAGGTCCTTACATACACAAATGAGTCATTTGCGTATCATATTTGAATAAGCTGGATGAAAAATGGCTAAAATGCAAAGTCTGAGGTTACACGGTTGGTCCCTGTTTTGTTCTGTAGATGGCGTAGTGTCTTTAACCCTGCTGTTCCTTGTGTCTCCTGTAGATGGCGTAGTGTCTTTAACCCTGCTGTTCCTTGTGTCTCCTGTAGATGGCGTAGTGTCTTTAACCCTGCTGTTCCTTGTGTCTCCTGTAGATGGCGTAGTGTCTTTAACCCTGCTGTTCCTTGTGTCTCCTGTAGATGGCGTAGTGTCTTTAACCCTGCTGTTCCTTGTGTCTCCTGGCGTAGTGTCTTTAACCCTGCTGTTCCTTGTGTCTCCTGTAGATGGCGTAGTGTCTTTAACCCTGCTGTTCCTTGTGTCTCCTGTAGATGGCGTACTGTCAGCACATCGGTGTAGAGTTCATGTTCATCAATGACCTGGAGCAGTGTCAGTGGATCAGGCAGAAGTTTGAGACTCCAGGAGTGATGCAGTTCACTCTGGAGGAGAAGAGGACGCTGCTCGCTCGCATGGTCCGCTCCACCAGGTAAATCTCAAATACAGAGTTTTTCCTGCTCAAAAATGTGTGATAGCTGTGAGTATGGGGACTTCTCTTGTAACACTGCGTAACTGAGTCAACTGATTAATTTAATGCCATATTCTGGAAGATTCCTCACAAAGCAATAACATCTCCATGGCAAAAAGCAGGTGGTGAATTTTGCTATGAATTTTTAGGCGTTTTGTCACATGATGGAGATGATGTGTCCAAGGGTTTAAAAATTATGAAAAGTTACCATTGTCACATCAATTGATATCTTGTTTTCCCCGTTTGGTAAAGGTTAATTCTGTTTTCAGTTTTAAGGCATTAAATAACTATTAAATTAAAAGAAGTTTGTTTACCTGCTTCACATGTTTCAGCTGCTTCCAGAAAATTCAAAAGATAATGTTTGTGTGTCAGGTTTGAGGAGTTCCTGCAGAAGAAGTGGTCTGCAGAGAAGCGCTTTGGTCTGGAGGGCTGTGAGTCTCTGATCCCAGCTCTGAAAACCATCATTGACAAATCCTCAGAGAATGGAGTGGAGAACGTCATCATGGGCATGCCCCACAGGGGGCGCCTCAACGTGCTCGCCAACGTCATCCGCAAAGAGCTCGAGCAGATCTTCTGTCAGTTTGACTCAAAGCTGGAAGCGGCTGACGAGGTAAAAGCATCTCTTGCATCATCATTTGCCCCTCTCTTCCTCTGACCCTCTGCTCTTCCTCTCCTCCTCTAACCCTCTCACCCTCTGACCCTCTCTCTCCTCTTCTTCTCCTCCTCTGACCCTCTCTCTCCCTCTCTTCTCCTCCTCTGACCCTCTCTCTCCTCCTCTTCTCCTCCTCTGACCCTCTCTCTCCTCTTCTTCTCCTCCTCTGACCCTCTCTCTCTTCTCTTCTCCTCCTCTGACCCTCTCTCTCTTTCTCTCTCTCGTCTCGTGGCAGGGCTCTGGGGATGTGAAGTACCACTTGGGCATGTACCATCGTCGTATAAACCGTGTCACCGACAGAAACATCACTCTGTCTCTGGTGGCGAACCCGTCTCACCTGGAGGCCGTGGATCCTGTGGTCCAGGGGAAGACCAAAGCCGAGCAGTTTTACTGTGGAGACAACGACGGCAAGAGGGTACCAGCAGGGGGCGCAGTGGAGTCTCAGGGCAGTTTGAGTTCATGTTTTTACACGGTTTGTTGTTGTTCAGGTGATGTCCATCCTGCTTCATGGAGACGCTGCGTTCGCTGGTCAGGGAATCGTCTACGAGACGTTTCACCTGTCAGACCTGCCGTCTTACTCCACCCACGGCACCGTGCACGTGGTCGTCAACAACCAGGTGAGACTGGACTGTGCTTTAACTGCTGGTACTCAGTACACTAAAGCTCTTGAAGCCAACGCTGTGTCCTGTCACCCAAACATAACCGTCTTGCTGAACAAAATCTAAATCTTTTAGAAGATAATGATGAATTTAAAGCTTCAGTATTTTATTACTGTTGTTTTAAGTCGGGTGTACACTGACTGTAAGTGTGGTTCTGGACTCACACGGGTCCTGCACATGGCCACACTGCCCTCTGCTGTGGGTCTAAGTGTTTTTCCTGGACACCACAGTGTCTGGAGCAGTTTTCATGTCAAAGACGTGTTATGGAAAGACGTGAAACCGCATTTCTTTGGTCAAAATTGTTGTATTTGGTGAAAGAGACAATCTGCAAGTCACTTGCTAAGAGTAACTGAACCTACTCTACAGTTAGTGTGAACCCAGTGTTACTGAGTATTTTATGTACGTAATAATGAACTGGACAGTTGTGATTTAGGAGGCACTGAGAGTAATAAATTGTTGATTTATTTAGTGAATATTTTCAAGTCGCTGTTTAATGTTAGGGCACATTAATGGCACAGAGCCTCGTTCCTCTTTGACATCAAAGTAATCTGTGCACTGTCCTTGTTTTAAATGAATAAATGAACCCCCGTCTCTTCTCTTCTCTCTCTCTCTCTCAGATCGGCTTCACCACAGATCCCCGTATGGCTCGCTCCTCCCCCTATCCCACAGATGTGGCTCGTGTGGTGAACGCTCCGATCTTTCATGTAAACGCAGACGACCCTGAGGCGGTGATGTACGTGTGTAACGTGGCTGCAGAGTGGAGAGCCACTTTCCACAAGGACGTGGTGGTTGATCTGGTACGAAACACCAAACGCCAGGCCTCATTTGACCTGAGATCAAGATTCAGTCTAATGATCAGTGATTAGTTTGGGTTTTTAATGGAACTGTTTACAAGCAATCCTCTGGAAAGAAGACCTGCCACAATAACACACTCTGAAGTGTGATGATAAATAGAGATGATAAATTATAATAATGAAAATCATTTATACCACTGACACAAAAACCTAAGAGCAGATTTAAACCACAAAACTGTTTTACATCTACAATATTTAAAAAAGTCTGTGGTGTTTGTATCAGGAAGTGAGATGATTTTTAGTTAGATAAAATAAAATTTAATCAAATTGTGATCAATCAATAACAAAATGTAAATTGTGTCAATTAAACCTGCCTGTGTCCATGGAGATGTTATTGCCTGTAATGCCTCACAGCTGCCACGTTTACATGAGAACTTTAATTCTGAATAAAAATTATTACATTTTGAATAAAAATTAATTCCGCTTTAAAAAGACCATGTAAACACTTAATTCCTAATGAAAATGATTAATTAAGTGGGTGGTTTATTCTGATTTTAAACCAAATTAATTTATTCCTCGATCATGTAAATGTTTATTCTTCTTAAAAATAATACCAGTCGTTCAGCACTTGCTCGTTGGGTTGCCCTTCTGACATGATCCAGACGATCCAGCTGCAGCAGTCCTTTCTTTAGACTTTCATCTACATCTCTTTAAATTTGTGAGCAGGATGTAGAATTGGGCTGAGGTAGAGCAGCTGTTGACTCAGTTTGTCTTCTTCCTCCCTTCTCCTCCTCAGCCGACAGACGTAAAGCGTGATGAGAGAATTCTCCAGCTGCTGCGCAATTATCAGAACGAAATAAGTTTGTGTCCGTGGCGTAACGACAAATCAAGATGACAGAAAAGCCGGTAGCAGCTGAAGCGTGTGTTTTCTTCCGGTCGACGTAAATACGTTTGTGTCTCTGTCCAATCAGAACCTTCCCCCACCCCCAGACGCTGAACGGAATTAAATAAAGACGATTTAACGAGTTTTCCTTGTAAACCTCAATTCAGAATTATTACTTCCACTTAAACACGAAGGAGAATATTTTAATTCCGAAAAATTTAATTCAGCACAATTAATTCTGAATTAAAAAACATCATGTAAACGTGGCCAGTATGACATTAAACCTGTAAACATTTAAAACATGTGAAGTGTCTGACCTGTGTGTGTTCTGTGTGTGTCCTGTGTGTGTCCTGTGTGTGTTCTGTGTGTGTCCTGTGTGTGTCCTGTGTGTGTTCTGTGTGTGTTCTGTGTGTGTTCTGTGTGTGTTCTGTGTGTGTTCTGTGTGTGTCCTCAGGTCTGCTATCGTCGTATGGGTCACAACGAGATGGACGAGCCCATGTTCACTCAGCCCCTCATGTACAAACAGATCAAGAAACAGAAGCCCGTGCTGCAGAAGTACGCCGAGAAACTGATCGCAGAGGGAGCCGTCACCAGACAGGAGTACGAGGTAAAGCCAGATGCCCTCCCTGTGTCTCCATGGGGTCTTAATTCTGTAAAAAAAAAAAGCTGCTAAACTTGTGCTTAAAACCTCTACAAACATGTTCTGAAATGTGATTCTTGTATTTTTTTGTTTTTAATTAGTTAACCATAACCTGACCACAGCTTCTTCTTCAGCTGTGCATCGTTGGGGCTAACCACTCTGCCGCTGTGTGTTTTTTTTCTGCAGGAGGAGATTGCGAAGTACGATAAGATCTGTGAGGAGGCGTACGCTCGCTCCAAAGACGAGAAGATCCTGCACATCAAGCACTGGCTGGACTCACCTTGGCCTGGTAATGCTACTACCACTACTACTACCACTTCTACTACTGCTACTACTGATACTGTTACTGCTACTTTTACTATAACTGCTACACCAGCTCATGTAAAGTTTAAATAACAGTGCAGGAGGTATTTTAAAGTAGCACTGGGCCTCCTTTCTCTGATAGAACCAGGGCTCACATCAGATTGTGACTGTAGATCGAGTTCTGATGAAACATTTATCAGTCTGGAGCGGTTCTCTCTGAAAAAGCGCTTCTGCCTTTTCACAAACAAAAGAGTATTTATGATCAAATAGACTGAAGTGTGTCTGTTGTTGAAGTACGTCTCAGTCCTGTTCTGTGTCTGTCCCCTGATCCGTACAGCGTGAGTCTGTCATGATGGACTCTCGTGAGTTTTTAACTCATCCATCTTGCGATGCAGGGTTACATTTATACTGATATCATAAATACATTTAAATTTATACATTTCTTGTGTTGTTTTTAGGTTTTTTCACTCTGGATGGACAGCCCAAGTCCATGAGCTGCCCCTCCACTGGTCTGACTGAAGAAAACCTCAACCACATTGGAAGTGTGGCCTCCTCTGTGCCCGTGGAGGACTTCACCATACACGGAGGTACTACTGCTACTATTATGAGTCCTGTTTCAGTCCTGGTTCAATCCTGGTTTAGTCCTGGTCCAGTCCTGGTCTGACCCTCTTGTTTTGTTCAGGTCTGAGCAGGATCCTGAAGGGTCGGGGGGAGATGATCCGTAACAGGACGGTGGACTGGGCTCTGGGCGAGTACATGGCCTTTGGGTCTCTGCTGAAGGAGGGAATCCACGTGAGGCTGTCCGGGCAGGACGTGGAGAGAGGCACCTTCAGGTAAAAGTTACACAGTGAAGCTTTAAAGCTTTTAACCATGTAATACTGTTCTCTCATAAAACACTCCAGGGGTTGTGTTTTGTTTCCTTCACACTTTCTTTTGTCCCTTCACAGCCACCGTCACCACGTGCTCCATGATCAGAACGTGGACAAACGCACCTGTATCCCCATGAACCACATGAGTCCAGACCAGGCGCCGTACACCGTCTGCAACAGCTCTTTGTCAGAGTACGGAGTCCTCGGTGGGTCAAAACTCACACAGATAAACCCGTACATCCTCCAAACCCTCGTCTGCTCCAGGCTCCAGCTCTGACTCGAGAGCGAGCGTTTATCTTTACACCAACATGGCTGAAGTTTTCTTAAAGGGACAGAGGCGCCTTTTCCCCTCATTCTCCTCTGATACAGATCCCCCGAGCCACAGAAACATGAACAGACTCATAGTTAAAGAGTTGAATTGCACTGAACATGTATGTGGAGCCTTGTTAAAATGTGTTTACTGTGATCAGTTTGACTGATCATTGCCACACAACAACAAACTGGCACCATATTCCCACGACAGCCCTGCACACATACTGTGTTCATGTGTTTTCTCATGTTTTATTTCCTCAGGTTTCGAGCTGGGTTTTGCGATGGCGAGCCCAAACGCTCTGATCCTGTGGGAGGCTCAGTTCGGAGACTTCCATAACACAGCTCAGTGCATCATCGACCAGTTCATCTGCCCGGGTCAGGCCAAGTGGGTCAGACAGAACGGCATCGTGCTCCTGTTGCCCCACGGACTCGAGGGCATGGTACGTGAGCAGCCATCTTTAGACTGTAGAGAGACAGACCCTAGAGCTCCAGAGATGGACTGTAGAGAAGATTCACACAGAAAGTCATGTCTACGTTGCAGTAAATGTTTGTGTTTATCCTCAGGGTCCAGAACACTCCTCCGCCCGGCCAGAGAGGTTCCTCCAGATGTGCAACGATGACCCCGACGTGCACCCGGTCAGATTTAACAATATAATAATTTAATGAAATAATAATGTTCAGATAACCAAGTACAAATTTGCATTTTCTGTAGTGCAGCTTCACAGGGATAGATGATAATGATACTTTAATGTTTACACATAGTGGTTTCATTTCTCGTTCAGTCCTGGTTGAGTTCTGTTTTGTCCTGGTTCATTCATATTTAACCCTCTCTCTCTGTGTCTCTGTTGCAGCCGATCACAGAGGACTTTGCCGTTCAACAGTTGTACGACTGTAACTGGATCGTGGTGAACTGTTCGTCGCCAGGAAATTACTTCCACGTTCTGAGACGCCAGATCCTTCTGCCCTTCAGGAAACCAGTGAGACCAGTCTCCACAACAGCACAACAAACACGAATCTCACCACAACACACAACCACCAATCTGCAGTAAAACAGACGCAGTAAGGTACTGCAGGAATACGAGTGACTGACATTGTTATTTAAACCAATGAAGCTCCAAACATAATGAGAATAGTTCATACACGTGACACTGGGGACAGTCGTCTTGGGTTCTATCTCAGAATCCTCGCTCGGTCTCCTCTGAGCTCTTCAGAGTTCAGAGTTGTGCCGTCCGAGGAAAAGGGGTGTGTCAGTGTGTGTTGCTAGGCAACATCCTCGGAGTTGGATGTATATAGATGTATAATCGAAAGCACCATTATTCCTGGAGCTCTGCTGTGATGTTGTGTCAGCGCCTCTGAAGGCCGCACACAGACACTGTGTTTGTTTATGAAGGAAAAAACTGATCGTTCAGCAGGTTTTTGGTTTTATTTTTAAAGTAAAGAGTTCCTGATTGCTTTATCTGTAAATAACTAAGTTTGTAGCGTTAACATTTAGACACAAGTGTTTTCCACTGAAGTTTTCTCCTCATTTGTAAAGTTTTAAACCTTCATCAGAATGTTGAGAATGAGATCTACAACATGAAAAACCTGAAGTCAGTGTGAGATGTACATTTAAAGTGGTGTTTCTTCCCCAGAGATTGAAGTTTACAAATGTGTTTTTAAACCTGTTTCTTCTGTTTTAGTTGATCGTCTTCACTCCAAAATCACTTCTGCGCCACCCAGAGGCCAGATCCAGCTTCGACGAGATGCTCCCAGGTTGTTTCCCACACAGACTCAGTGTTGGTCCTAACTAGGCTCATCAAAGTATCGAACATCAGATAATAAACAAGTATCTAGTTTCAATACTAGTTTTGAGTCCCATAAACGGGACAGAAATGAACCTTTCCTGAAACTTCGGAACGATCTTGAGTTGATCGTGACAAACATGAGTTGTAACTGTGTTTTTTTGTTGTTTTTTTTTTTTGCAGGGACTCATTTCCAGAGGCTGATTCCTGACACAGGCCCGGCCGCTCAGAACCCACAGGCTGTGAAGAGAGTCTTGTTCTGCACCGGAAAAGTCTTCTACGAGCTCAACAAAGAGAGGAAGAACCGCGGCCTGGAGGAGCAGGTCGCCATCGCCAGGGTGGAGCAGGTACTGCAGCTGTCTCCTCCTCTCAGTGAGACTCCAGTGTGGCAGAGTGGTTAGCCTCTCTCGTTCTCTTTCTTCGCAGTTGTCTCCGTTCCCGTTCGACCAGGTGAAGGCCGAGGTGGAGAGGTTCCCAAACGCAGATCTGGTCTGGTGTCAGGAGGAGCACAAGAACCAGGGCTACTACGACTACGTGAAACCCAGGATCCGCACCACTATCCAGAGAAACAAACCAGTGTGGTAAGAGTTCACCTCCCCCCTGTCCCCGCCCACATCAGACACTTTTCAACTGTAAAAACTCTTCAGTCAGAAGTCTCCAACCTTTTTCCTCCAGTGAGCCACTTTTACCGAACGAAAATAGCAACGAGTTACTAGTTTTAGCAATCAGAAGAAACTGAGACAACCATAAAACACCAAATACCAGCCGGGGTGTTTATTTGTTTCAATCAGTTAAAGGTTGTATAGAGGATTTTCCAAGGAACGAGAAATCCAGCGACTGTTTGTCCTTTTTTAAATGTTGCTCCTGCGTGAAACCACCCCCCCTCCCCCACAGCTCCCTACGTAGAAACACCCTCCTCCTCCTCCTCCTTACGACACAAACAGGTTTGTTTACAGCCGGTGCACTGCACATGATTTGTAAACAACTAACTACAGTGTTGGTTAGGCAAGGCGGAGAAGTGAGGAGCGGGGGGAGCGGGTGCGCGGAGATTCCGTGCCCGGAGAAGTGAGGAGCAGGGAGAAGAGTGGATCGGGCAGCGGGGAGAGGAGCAGGAAAGGGGTGCAGAGAAGGTTGCGCGGAGATTCCGTGCGAATGAACTAGCTACAACACGCAGCAGCAAGCGGACTCTTTCTTTGCCTTGAAAATTGACGTTTTCAGACACAGGATATCGCTTTCGTGTCCTGAAAAACGTTTGTCTAGCTCTTGGAAATAAAGTACGTTTTCATAATAAGCAGAAGTTTCCTGTCCAGGAGTAATTTGTGGACCAGTGCGTCAGTCTTTAGACCCTGCGTCTGCTTCAGTTGCACCATCGCTGGAATGAATCTTCAAGAATCACCTTAGTTTGGCTTCGCTGCTTTTCCCCTTGTCTTCTTCTTTCAGCGACCTCAAAAAACGGACTTTGTTTTGTGGCTAACTGCTCCTGGATTCTTGTCGCCATTGCAACAAACTTTGTGCGAACTGCGAGGAAGATATAGGTCAAAAAAAGCCGCTAAGAACTGTTGCGTTGGTGGAGTAAACAGCGTCTGTGCGTCTTGCGTCTGTGGACTGTGTGACAGTCGTACGTAAACCACGTACCGGCGGCGCAGGCAAGTCAGTTACACTAGAAACGTAGGGAGTTTGATTGACAGCCTGTCAGCTCACAGATAACGAGGCAGTGTCGTTATCTATTGGCAAATGTTTAGCCCCACCACGTCCAGAGTTGATGAATTTTTATTCTCTTTTTTTTGGTCATCATAATTACAAGGCGACTGCATCTCTATAATCTATCACTGACAATTTGAAACAAAAAAAATCCTCCATACAACCTTTAACAGACCAAGCTTTTATTTGAGACCAGGCAGTTATTTGGGACAGGTGATTAATTCCTTCCTCACAAAAATCTTGCTCAGCAAAACTGGAAAAATATGGTACTCAAATTCTTTTAACCAGTATGATTATAATTTTTAGTTTTTGCGTCACACCTTGGAGGAGGTGTCGCCGTTATACAATGTCCTGGCGAATTCTTTGCCGACCTTGTGGACACGATTCCTGCCGCCTCGTCCTCTGCCTTTCCTCGCCCCTTTGCCACAGATTTCCTCTTACACCACAGCAGCTACGATCACATTGCTGCTTCCTCTGATTTGTCAAACTGAAACAATATCACCAAAACGCAGCGCAGAGAATAGAGCCTTTCCATTCCAAGTCACACAACCAGGACTGACCGCAAGTCAAACTGCTCCTGTGTCGCTGTAAACATCAGGCTCCCTGTGGTGTCGATGCACTAATCTTTATATCTTGGTTAAATTAAACACAAAAAAAGGGAAATGGGAGTTTGAGCACCTCCTCGGCAACAGCCACAACGAACAGCGTAGGCGACTTTCTATACAGACTGGGCGTTTATTTGGAATTGATCAAAATATACACCTGCACCCGGCCGTTAATTGAAAACCGGCGATTATTTGGTATTTTACGGTATATAAGAGCCACAGCGAGCCTTAGATGAAATTTCTGAGGCACACATTGGTCGATGCAGACGCTCTGTGGAGGTGGTTCCAGGGACGCAGACGATTTAACACGCGACCATAAATTGGGCTTTACTGTAACGGTAGAAACTGCTCTGGTCTGTGAGAAGTGAGATATAAACTCATGGAGGTGAATAACGAGGACGCTGAATACATAAGAAGTGAGGAAGAACTTTGGGCCACTGCAAATGAATTAAAATGAAATTGTTCTGTTTTTCATGTTTTTAACACGGTGATAAATCAGGTACAGAGACTTTCAGTTTTAGATCAATATTACATTATTTACATTTTTATTTGTTTTGAACGCCACAAAATCTGATGAAATGTTGAAACGTTTGCGCTCGTTCTCCGTGTTTTCAGGTACGCCGGGCGAGGACCAGCGGCCGCTCCAGCCACGGGAAACAAAAACACTCACCTGATGGAACTCAGGCGCTTCCTCGACGCCGCCTTCGACCTGGACACGCTCAGGATGGAGTAGGGTCACAGAGGGGTCACAGAGAGGTCACATAAGGGTCAGGAGGGCGGGGCTACGCGGGGAAAAACACGGCTCTGTTACACAAAACGAAGCAGGAAACTGACCTGAGAATGCAACACGGATTCATAGTTTTATCTTTATCGTTCGAAAATATCATGAAAATAAAATGTTTTGAATTCTTTGGGAAATTATAGCTTCAGTTTAAAGTAAAAAAAACACAAGACACCTGGACCTGGACGTTTAAAGTCAAAGGATTTATCGACAAAACTGGAACAAAAACTTAAATGTGTTAAACCATTTTGTGAAATTTAGAAGTTTAAACATAAACATAAAACAGAATTGCAATTTCATTTACGATCCGGTCCTAGACTGTGTGAAGAAGTGGACGGAGGGAGAGCGACGTCGCAGCGTTCGACTCCAGTCAAATGAAGCTCATTGAGGCTGAAGGGGCAGATTTAGAGCAGAGTTTTATATTTGGAAATCGCCCGCGCTCGCTTCTGTTTGGAACGCGGCGACTCGCAGTTCAGTTTTACGTCCGTTTGTGTCAACAGTCTGTGGATACGGGTTAAAATTGCTGCTTTAAACATTTTGGAACTTCTTAAAATGTAGAAATATTGGTTTAAAATGAGTCAGAATATGAGTTGACGTTTTTAGGATTAAGTTTTAGTCCCATTTTATTGAGAAAAATGTGGGAAAATATTAAAATTTCTACATCATTTTGTCCAAAAAACATGAATGAAACTGCTTTTTTTTTTCTCTTTCATTTCCAGGTCAGAGGTCGTATCCGCTGTACAAACCCGACCTCTGATTTGCGCTTTTGCCTTTTGCAGGTGTAGATTAAACATGTGGTATTTACTCAAACGCTTTTTTTTTTTTTTTGGGCACATTCTCAACGTGAGCACAGAGACGGGACGAGCGCGCGACAACTGCACGGCTTCACTTTTAAAATTTAGACTTTGAGAAATTATTTTAGACGTTTAAAATGTTTTGGAATTGGGTGAAATGTGTTGTACATTTTCTGATTTTCTTCTTTTTTTTTTGTTGTTGCGTGTGTTTGAATTTTTGCACTTGAGTTGTCTTTAAAAATTAGATTTGCAAAAGTAAAATTGACAAATTGTTGAAATTTTGTAGTAGAAATTTTAGGTTTTAAGAGCCTTTTTGAAACAATAGAATGAAGAAACCTTTTCAAACATTTGTGCTTCTGAACATGAATATGAAACAAAATATTTATTAAAGGTGGAATTAACCGTAACTTTACCAAGAGCTTTACAAATTATAGATTAAAAGGGAGAGAAGTGTCTTGCCTAAGGTTGTGAAACGTATCAAAAATCAGATACGAATCGAATCTAAAACTAGAATAGAAACTAGATTCTCATTGGAGCAGTTTAGAGATCTTTTTCACAACGGTCAGAAGTGCCGCGTTTTAGGTTTGTGGAACTTCCGGTTGACGTTTTTCGGTGGCAAAATGTGTGTGGAAATGTCTCCAACAGCTTCATAAATCTGCTTCATCACCAAATCTTCAACCAACAAGAAACATTTGAAAAAATGAATTTATCTACAACTATCAACGGAAGGAAGACGAAAACTTAAAGGCAAAAACTGAGCAAGACTAACGTTATGATCATGGAAATGCTGGAAAAGTCATGGAATTTTAGTATCTACCGAACGCTGAAAGATTGCGTGAAAGTTCTCAGGAGACTATTCTGATTATTTCTCAACGTCTGCGCCTTTTGTTTAAAAGAGACGACAATAAATGCACTGACAGGATTGTGAATGTTAAAAAAAACTATAATCCCAAACCATAAGGTGAGTGGAAAGAGTTATACATTTCATATTTAGACCTAAAAGTTTGATCAGTTCTACACGTGTAAGTGCTGTAAGGTCATGGAAAATTCACTTTAGGTCATGAAAAAGTCAAGTTTTGGAGTTTCGTCAGTGAAAAAGAGTGGGAACCCTGTAGAGATTTCTCAACTTCGAACTGCACAACTCTATTTTTCTATGGTAATATCGAAATCATGAAATCGATTTTTAATTTGAACGAGTTTGAACAAGTTGCTTCTGTTTTATTCATGACCATAATGTTAGTTTTGTTCAGTGTGTCACTAATGCGTCGTCGTCGTTGTTTTCCTTTTAAGTTTTCGTCTTTCTTACCAAATCAACTTAACGTTTAACATAACATAGAACATTTAAAAAACGTTACAGCTGCACACAAACACAGGATAGACCAGGACAATCACAGTACAACTACTGAAAAACACAGAAAATAATAAGACACTCACCAACAACACATGTACATCTGAAAAAGAAAGAGAAAAAAGGTGCGTTTTTAGGTCCAGACTCCGCCTTGTTAGTCAGACTGGCCCCACCTCGTTCCTCCGCTCAATTTCATTTCTCTCCAGCGACTAGATCAGGAATCAGAAAACACTAGACGACTCGCAAAAACCCCCGAAGTGTGAGTTCGGGCACCGGCCGATCAGCGAAGAGTCAGACATTCTGTGTTGTCAACGATTCCCAAGATCGAGGATTTAAAACAGGAACAAAGAGAATGTTTGGTGAATTTCATCAAAGGGAAAGACGTTATTGTTCTTCTTCCTACAGGATTTTGTGCATTTCATACGTCACGACCAAACAGCAACGATTGGTTAAATAAAAAAAGTACCCGCCTACTGTCGAGCCAACGAATCCTAATGCTGGGAGGTCAGACGGTTTCTATAAAGTGAAACCAGTTGATGAATCACTCTACCGTCTTGATAGTTGAGGATAAATTCTTAATGTTAGAAAGTTTATCCTTTGTGGAGCTTGTTTTTTTGAAGATTTGTTGATGGGGCAGATTTATGAAGCCGCTGGAGAAAACGCGAAACATTTACACACACATTTTACCGTAGAAAAACATTAATCGGACGTTCCTCAAACCTCCAGCGCGACACTTCCCACCGTTTTGAAAAATCTCTATTCCTTTGTGTTGTGTTTGAAATTTTAGTATCGTGACAACACTAGTTTTGCCAAAGGACACAACAACAGTACCGCGGTGACGAGGTTTGAACTGGCGTCGCTGCGGTTGTCGGGTGAAAGCTCAACCCTCTGCTCCACACGTGAGTTTAAATGTAGTTTTTTTAGTTTTGTTTTTTTAGTATATTTCTTGAGTATTTTGCGGTGGACTTGTCCCGCGCTCGTCCGTCCTGTGTCTGAACTCTGCACTGCTGTTTTATCCGGTGCCAAAACACGACCAGTAAAAACCAACTATTTATTTTCGTAACCATGGAAACGTCTGTCGCTACGAAGAACCAATAAAAACTGTATTTACTCCAAAGAAACACGTGTCGAGCTTTTTCATTCACAATATTTAGACTCGCTGTAGTTTTATTAAGCAAATCTGACTCTTGTGAGGTTTAAGTCATGTTATAAAGTTGTTCTCTCCTCAAAAACAAACCTGGAGTTGTGTTTTTTCATTCACATGTTTGAGTGACTCTTTATTATTATTATTCTGTCGACATCTCAAACTCAGGATATGTGAGTTAAACATTTGTGAATGAAACAAAACACAGCTCCAGGTCTGTTTTTGACATGGTGTCGTCTAGGGATGTCCCGATCACATTTTTTTTTGCCCTCGAATCCGAGTCCGAGTCCTTTGATTTTGAGAATCTGCCGACACAGAGTCCTGTCCCGATACTTGTATAAAACATTATAAAATGAACTAAGAGCAAAGAATCAGATCCAGGATGTTTGAGGATCAGATTGTGTTGATTTCATGTGTTGTATTTGGGCTGAACTTGGTGTGAAAAATCAAATGTCCAAAACTAAATTATTTTACATAACGTTTTCTAACCGTGAAGCATCATTGTTGAAAATCTGGACTTTTCACAGTTTGGTCTTGGAATGTGTAACTTAGTAAACTTATTGAACTGGACAAAACAGGAACCAGAGCAGAACCAGACCAGACCTGAGACTCGACACTGCACAATCTACACTTTGCATATTTGATTATATGATTATATGAAGTCTGTGCTTTATATTTGAAACATTTAGGCTCGTCTATGAAATCCAAATAATACAAACTTTACAAAATAAAAACGAGACGACAGAAGCTCCACAGCCTCTGTCCTCTGCACCGACACCACATCCACAACATCAGTCCCACCGCTCGATAGACGCTTCACACCTCTGGACGGACCCTCGCCGCCAAAAGCCTCAGCTCCACTGCACAACATGCGCACGTGCAACGACACCATCGGCCGCGCAGGTGTGAACACGGGCCACAGAACCACAGGTAACAGCGCCCGAGCACGACACGACCCAAAAGTCCCAGTGCGAGTGTGTCTCTAGTACAACAGACGCTGGGACAGTCAGTCACAGTAAGTGGACGTCCCTGAACAAATCCCACACCTCAGAAAAACTGTTGTGTCCTGTGTGTTTATAGATGTATGTTATTTATCTGATACCTGATCGGAACATAATGTCTGAGTCCAGATCGAGGCCGCAGTCATGTGATCGGATCAGGACAACCCTAGTGCCATCTGCAAGAAAGTGCAGCAAAGATGGTTCTTTTTAAGGAAAATTAATCATTTTAACATCCGTAATGACCTTTGACCTCCTTTTTAAATCAGAGTTTTATTGAATTTGTGCTTGTGTTTTGTATTTGTGTCGTCTCTTGGTTCGGTGCTCTCACTGTGTTGAGTAGAAATCCTCCGATTCGGTTTGTCTAAGTGGCAGGACGTCGATTCGCAAGAACCAACAAATAATAAAAAGCCCTGACCACACAGTTATTTTTTTAATTAACAAAAGGGGTCATCAAACAGTTAATGGAATAAATGAAACAAAACATCTTTACATAATAAAACAAGATACAGGAAATTAAACACAAGAAATTATAACAGCAGATACAAAATGTAAACAAATAAAATCAGGAGTAAAATTTCAAGTAGATCAGAAAATAAACTTACAGTGTGTTGCTTTTCAGAGGAGACGACTGATCAGTTTTGTTACTTTTTATTTAAATAATTCAGTTTAATGCAGGATATTGTGAGTATTTAACAGCCAAATTAGATAATTTCTCAGTATTTTTTTTAACTGGAAAGAAGTGGAGGGACCACATCAGTCCTATTCTTAAATAGTAATAATAATAATGCATGTGTTTTATAAAGTGCTTTTCTAGACACTCTTTATCATTATTCATTCATTCTAGACTCGGTGTTTGTGAGGCTTAAATCCCTGCGTTGTCTCCCTGTACATTTTACAATCCATTTTAACAATTTGAATGATTGTTTTTAAGAGTCTTAACGTCACGGCACCTTCCTGTTTACTTGAATTCCTCCAGCACCATGTCCCGTCCAGACATCTGTGCTCTGCAGACCAGCACCAGGACCAGACTGAGGACCAGAGGAGAAGGGTTCTTCTCTGTGGTTGGTCCACGACTCTGGAACACTTTCCCTTTGCAGATTAGAACTGCACAAACACTGGAACACTTTAAATCCTTGCTCTAAATGCACCTTTTGCCCAGAGATTGGAATAGACACCTTGGCGATTATTATTATTATTATTATAAATGCGTTATACAAATACATTTGATTTTTATTTGATCAGTTAATGTTTTAATGGTTGTAAAATATTGCTGTGTTGATTTAGTTTAGTATTTGCCCATTTTGTTTTGTGAATGTGAAATATTCCCAACATCATGAGTTTGGACCAACAGGGAAACATCGTGAAGTGTGGAGGCTGTGAAAATGACAGAAGATCTTCTTCCTGATCACTCGCTCTGGGAGGAGTTGAACCTAGTCAAAACTACCACAGGATGAACGCTCTCGAGTCGTGGTGAAATGTGGTTACACCTCCTGTTGTTTTTTGCCAGTTTTTAAGGGAATGTTTGTCTGCATTGTTGACCTTAACCTGTGGTTTAGTGTTTGTTGAATTGTATTGGACCATTGTGATGAAGAGCGCTGAAAGGCAAAGCTCTCAATTTACTGTCAGTCTTCATTCCTCCCGTCACCTCTGGTCATGAGCTCTGGGTAATGACCAAAAGGATGAGATCACAGATACAAGCGAGAAATGAGTTTCCTTTGCAGAGTGGACGCTCCCTTAGAGACAGAGTGAGGAGCTCAGTCACACGGGAGGAGCTCAGAGTAGAGCCGCTGCTCCTCCACGTCGAGAGGAGCAGCTGAGGCTCAGTCATCTGTTCTGATGCCTCCTGGGCGTCTCCCTCAGGAGGTGTTCATGTCCCACCAGGAGGAGGCCCCAGGGAAGACCCAGGACACACTGGAGGGACTATGTCTCTGGGATGGCCTGGGAACACCTCGGGGTCCCCCCAGAGGAGGTGGAGGACATGTCTGGGGTGAAGGAAGTCTGGGAGTCCCTGCTTAGACTCCTGCCCCCTCGACCCGGCCCCGGAGAAGCGGAAGAAAATGGATGAACTGTATTTTGTGTCTGACACTGCAGCACAACAACTTCCCTCTGGGACAATAAGAAAGTGGAAAGTTGAGGAAACATTATAACGTAGATCAGAAAAGCCTTTAAGTCGTAGTTTCCACAAAGTTTTAATTCATTTCCTGAACTACCACTTTAATTTTATTTGAGTAACATAATTCTTAATCTCAAGGCAAGCGAACGGATTTTGAACTTTGAGATAAAAGATTTATGACGAGAACTTTGCTCTTACGCTTCCTCTTTTTACTCCTATGAAATAAACTCAGTGATTGAAAATTTTTCCAAAGCTGCAGTAGCTCAGTTAGAATACAGATTTTCATTCCTTTACTTTCTTCCTCTAGATGTGATATTTCATTCTAAACCTCAGACTTTTAGAGCTGCTCATTCTGGGACCAAATATTTGAAAATGAGAAAATAAACCGTGGATGTGGATGGAGCGGGTTTCATTTCACCTTCAAGTAATCATAATCACATAGTAAAATGTAAAATAAACCCATGACTCTGCACTGACCCCTGGTGTCAGAAATAAGAACCACACAGAGCGCCTTGTTTCACTATAGACATTTTTATTATTGAATTATATTTATTTATTTATCCAAACCCAGACGTCTCTGAGCGTCTGTCAAACGTGGATCGAGGCACAGCTCAGATAAAGTGCAGCGTCCAGAAACAAAAACAAAAAAACTTTCATATTTAAAGAGACTGAAAATAACACCATTAATAACAAGATTTTAAATGAGAAACAATTTACACAAACATTTTGCGATAGAAAAGAAAAATTGACAATTGTGGAGTAATAAAAGCAAAATTAAAGGACCTGTACCTGATTTTTCTTCCGTATATTTGCGTAAAATGTTTGTAAAGATGTATTTGTTTAAGCAGCTCTTGATGTTAAACAAGTATATTTGTACTAATTCTGTCTCTAAATTAAGCATTTATTGTCTGAATCAGGAAGAGCGCTGTTAGCATGTTAGTTTTTGCGAAAAAAGTTGCGAAAAGTGCAGAATAATAAACTCATAGACGCTTTGAAAACAGAAAAAATGAGGAAGAACTTTGGACAAACTGAACGGTTTTCAGCGAACTAGTTCCGTTTTTTCGCCTTTAAACGAGTCTTTAACGAGAACTAAACCAGGTCTCGACTTAAACCGGTTTAGTCCTGGTTCTTTAGTTGCGAGTTTGTCCCGTTTTGGGCATAATTTTGCAACAATAATACATTTTTACATGATGATGAAGACTTCGATGTTGGAAAAAGTTTGTTGTAGCCAGAGGTGGGACCAAGTCGTCGTTTTGCGAGTCTCTGACCTCAAGTCCGAGTCAAGTCCCGAGTCAAATACAGGCAAGTCCAAGTCGAGTCTCGAATCACTGGTCCGTAAGTCCAAGTCAAGTCCAAGTCGTCTGCTTTCAGCTTCAAGTCTTTAAACCAAAAAAGTACCAAATATAACTCAGATTTTTGCAATTTACACGAATTTCAAACTAAATTGTTCTTAAAAACTCATCATATATTTATGTAAGAGTTGTAAAATTGCTCTTTTTTCCTTTTTAAATGTTTTGTCAAGATCTTTTTGTGTTGGGAAACTTACCAATTGGGATGAAAATAAAAGACAAATACTTTCTTCAGATACAAGCAGCCAGTAAGAATCCAATCACACGAAAATGGCAACAGAAAAAACCTTCTGCTGTTTCAGAATGAACTGAAATAATCAACGAAATTCAGGATATGGAACGAATAACATTTTCCTTGACACATTCCTCAGATAAAGAACTGTATTGGAAAAAGTGGAAATCTTACAGTCAAAACAAAGCCTAATGTAAATTTTTTATACATCGTTGTAGAGGCCACTTGCTTGATGTCCTCCTATTTTAGTTTTATTTCATTTTTAAGTTATTTTTCCCTTTTTTTTCTTGGTTGGTCTGATGATTGAATCTGTGATATACATAACTAAAATGTTCTAATAAAAATAAAGATCTTGGTGTGAATCATTACGGTCAGAATAGAAAGAATTCAGATTTAAAAGAGCTTAATCACAGTTATTTTGTCGTGAAGGATTATATACTGTGTAGTTCCCTCTGTTTTACTGTGTTGTACTGTATATTACTGTAGTACAGGCATGCCCAAACTACGGCCCGTGGGCCAAATGCGGCCCTCGGACAAATTTTTCTTGGCCCTCAGGCTTCCAGGTGAATTGGCCCAAATTACCTTGCATCAATTAAAATTAACTTTTTACTGCAAGTTTTTTTTTTGAAAATCTACCTTGATAAAGCTAATATTGAATATTTAGTGTTTGGTTTTAAAGATCTTAGCGTGAATGAAGACTGATGGATCATTCTAACGTGTTAAACATGCACGTATTTAATTTAATCACTGTACTGAGCATCAGTCTACGGCCCTCGATCGGCCTCTGCTTCGTCTGTGTTTAGATTTGTGGCCCTTGATGAAAAAAGTTTGGACACCCCTGCTGTAGTACATTTGTGGATACTACGTCAAAGTACTTCAGTTTCATCCAAAGTAAAAAACAGAAGTGGGAGGGACGTGTTCCAGTTTGTTCCTGTAAAATTCAGCTCCACATTTATCAACATTTACTACTCAAGTATTTTATAAAACATTTTTTATAAAATACATACATTTTTTTTTAGAAGCATCAAGTCTTCTCAAGTCACAGGCCTCAAGTCCGAGTCAAGTCCTGAGGCAGTGACCTACAAGTCCAGGTCGAGTCCCAAGTCTTAGTCCATTTTATCAAGTCTCAAGTCCTAAAAATAATGACTCAAGTCTGACTCGAGTCCAAATCACTGCTTGCGAGTCCCACCTCTGGTCCTTTAGTTTGATTAAGACGGGAGGGCATCTGGTTTAAAACAAGAACACAATCTCTTATAGACAGAAATTAAAATGACACAAATAATCAATTTTAGATAGAATTCTCTAGAAATTAACTTTTTTTTTTTTTTAACTCTCGATTCGTTTCGTTGACGTTTATTTTAAGATCCAGCGTTTTCTGTTCCGATACCGATATCAATACTTTTGCTTCAGCCGATTCCCCCGATATGAACCAATACCAGAGCAGACTGAGAATATAACGTATTTCTTTTAAACATAAACGTGAAAAAAACATAAAAATAGAAAATCAACTTGTTATTTAATCTGAGCGTCGAGATCTGATCCCTGGTTTATGTGCAAAAAGATCGATTTTTTAAAAAGGAATTTCTAGTTTAACTCAAATACAAAACGTAAAATTGAAAAAACTATACAAGGTTTACCTACAGTTTATATTATTTATTTATTATATTTTTTACACTTTAATCGTCTGAGCCTCAAACGCAGCGTCAAACCTAAAAGAGTGAAAAAATTCAGTAACTTTAATTAAAAACATTCGGGTTTGTTTATGTGACAGTTTAAAGCCTCGACAAGAAAAGAAAAAAACTTGGAAGTTAAAAATGAAACGAAATTACACATAACAGTCTTTGTCCAATCAGAGCGCGGCGTTTACAGGAAACAGGAATGTGTTTTTAAAGTAACAGAACAAATAAAAACATGGCACCGTCCGAAAGTCAAGTTTGAGTTTTACCCAGAGTCGCAGAATCCTGAAGACGAAATCAAAGTTTGAGTTTTTGCTGAAGCTCCAGTTTTTGTGTTTTTTTTTTTTTGTTAGACTTGATATTTGGCGTCGTGAAGCTCGTGTGTGTGTGCGCGTCGCCTGCTCGTCTCCATGGCGATGTCGCTGCTTTGACTGTAATGTCCCGCAGTACGGCATTACATGGATCTATCCGTGAAGTTAAGTTTTTTTTTTTTTTTACACGTGTGAGTGTAAGTCTACGCAATTAACTGAACTTTGATCACAATTTCAATTTGTGCGTCAAACGATTTCCAAACTAGAGCCTTGAACCCGACGCAGGACACATTTTGAAAGCTCAGTGCAGAAGAGAGCGGGCGGGATGATAAAACTGCAAACCAAATATAAGTGTGAAGTAAAATATACAAATGATGCCTATTAGGGATGGGCATGATTAGTCGATTAATCGATAATTGATCATTAAGAATTTCATCGATTATGTTAATTTTTAATCGACAAACCGAATGTAGGTCACTGTGCGTAGCAACGTAAGAAGAACCTAAAAAAGTTAACGATTCGACGAAAATCAATCGTTAATTCTCCCGACGATCAATTAAGAGAATTTAATCGAACGCCTGTCTACAGTTAAAAATAATCATTTTCATTAGGAATTACCGTATTTTCCGGGCTATTAGGGCGCTCTGTCGTGACCCCTCTCGGCTTCCGAACCAAACGCAAACGCCGCAACAAATACAAACACCACAACACAAACGCAAAAGCCGCAACACTTTAAAAAGCCACAATGGAAGTGACCGCGGGACTCTTTTTGCCGACGGACCGATCACGCGGCAAGTGAAGAAGAAGAACTACAACGTGAAAAGTAAAGGAATGGAGAAGTTGGAAATGTAAGTAAAAGTAATTTATTGTTTTATCATTATTCGTTTCATGTTGTAGTTCTTCTTCTTCACTTGCCGCGTGATCGGTCCGAAGAAAAATAGAGTCCCGCGGTCACTTCCGTTGTGGCTTTTTAATGTGTTGTGGCATTTGCGTTTGTGTTGCGGCGTTTGCGTTTATTTTAATGCAAACGCTGCAACACAGAGTCCCGCGGTCATTTCCGTTATGGTTTTTTTTGGTTTGTTGTGGCTTTTTGTTGTGTTGTTACATTTGTATTTGTTGTGGCGTTTCCATTTGTCGTGACCCCTCTCGGCTTCCGTACTCTGGATTATAAAGCGCACTGTCTGTAAATGGTCTATTTTTCGAACTTTTTTCACAAATAAACCGCGTGGGACTTTAAAGGAAACCCAACAGTGTGATGGGTGAGTGGTTTAGTTTGTTTGTTCGTTCACGGTGACTCTGGGCTTTGTTCAGTTGTGGCGTGTAGGGAGGGTGCTGTCTGGGACCAACGGATTGTCGGGGTGTTCGCAGTGACTCAGTTGTTCAGTCGTGTCTAGAAGTGGCACATTGCACTCGCTTTTTCGGTTCGTTCCTCTGTTCCGTTCCTCGTCGGCGTGGAGTGATGAGTGTGTCTGTGGGTGTGTTTAGCTGTGCGGTCGCTGTCTGCTCCGTGTGCGTTTGTGTGTTCTGCGGGTGTTGTGGCTTTATAGTTTACTGAAGTCGTACTAGGACACCCGAGTGGCTTCGTGTATGGGGCGCTTTGGATTGTGGCGCGCCGTCGTTTTTTGATGGAGTTGGAGGGTTAAGAGCGCGTCTAATAGCCCGGAAAATACGATCAGTGTTTACGTGGTCTTTTTAAAGTGGAATTAATTTTTATTCAGAGTTAAATTATTGTTATTCGGACTTAAAGCTCTCATGTAAACGTGGCAAATGAGAAGAAACTATAAAATGGTTCAAAGCTCAGAATAAATCTGATGTAAAATCTGAAAAACAGAAAACACAAACCCGGAGCTTCTGACTTTGACCTTTTGGTGTCTCTGTAAAAGTTCAGAAACGTCTCTAAAATAAATATGAGCTTTCAGGTTAAAATCTCGTGCGGGCGAGTCCTTGGTCACATGACGGTGTCCTGGAGGAGGGGCTCGATGTCCTCCGGGTCGCTGAGGGGCGGGGCCAGAGTGGAGCCGTTCTGAGCGTGTGCGGCGGCGCCCGGCTTCGAGGCGTCCGACAGTTTGTGATTTTCGGGAATAAAAAACGCCACGAAGACGGCGACGAGGACCGCGCACGAACCGATCAGGAACGGAGGTCCAGGGACCAGCGGGGTCTGAGGACAGAGACCGGGGTTAGACCAGAGACCAGGACTAAGGCAGGACTAAACCAGGGATAAACCAAGACTAAACCAGGGCTAAAGAAAGAATAAACCAGGACTAAACCAGGTCTAAGGCAGGACTAAACCAGGACTAAACCAGGACGAAACTCGGACTAAACCAGGTCTAAAACCAGGTCTAAACCAGAACTAAACCAGGTCTAAGGCAGGACTAAACCAGGTCTAAGGCAGGTCTAAACCAGGTCTAAACCAGGACTAAACCAGGACTAAACCAGGACTAAAATCAGGTCTAAACCAGGTCTAAACCAGGACTGTGGAGAGAACAGACCAGTTAGTCAAGGAACAAACAAAACCAGGGACCAGGGAGCTGTCTTGACTGTGCTTCTGTGTGTGTGTGTGTGTGTGTGTTTATGTGTGTATGTGTGGGGGGGGTCTTAGGTGTGTGTGTGTGTTTGTGTGTATGGGGGGGGTCGGGGCTCTCACCTCGGCAGGGGGAG